AGGGGGGGGGGGGCTAACACGGGTGACGACGCATCTGTATAATCTGCGGCAAACCGTTTCAGGGTGTTCTGTACCATAAAAATAGTACAGAGATTCTTTTGTTCTTTAGACCAAATTGATTATTAAAAAGATTGAAGAATACGCATGTTAATTTCTCTAGAACGATGTACCTCTGACGAAGACATGAGATCTCCGACCTCTAGTTTCCTATAATTTTGTTTTTTTCATACAATCTGTTTCAATACGAGTTACAGCATTGACTGTATTTCATGATATCTGAAATGCTAAGCCTTCAAAGAAGTGTAATTTTCCCTTTTCATTGTTGTTTGAGACAGATGAATTTGATACAAAACGTTATATGTTTCCACTTGGAAGTTACAAACCCAACACGCTCACTCTCTCACTCATTAAAAAATACATATATATCTGATTCTAATTTTGTTAGTGCAGTGCTAAGCCTTGTAAAATGTTCTCTTACAGTCCCTACACCAGCATCACCACCACCACCATCATCACCACCACCCCTCCCACACCACTGGACAGCCCAAGTCTCCTAAGAAAGCCAGCGCCACTTCTGTAGGGAGTTCTACAGAGAAGGTCATCAGATCTGTCAACTTTGAAGATGCTGCACGTATGTTACATTCTGTATTCCTTAATTTCTAATTATAAAGATAGGCAGGTTATGATTGCTTTATTATCCCAAAGTTTTGTTGGAAATCATACTTTTTCTTTTTAAATGTCAGAATTTCGTACTGTATCACAAGTTTTGGTTCAGCTTTTTAGTCATCATTTACGTTGTATAGGTGGAGGTGCTATTTAGCACTACAGTGCTAGAACAAGAATTGCACAGAATTGTTCAACTCTAGTCCAACTGATCATTTTATGTTACAGTTTGGTGCATATATGATTTTAGAGCTGGAAATGTGTACATATGATCTATAGTAGACTCTACAATGTGCACTAATCCTCAGTGTTTCCTTACCAGCCTCCTGGAGTGACAGTGAACAGATTTCAGCGAAGACCAGTCGGCCGTCCCGTGCCACTGCCCAGTTGGATGTGCCTGGTATGAATTTTTTCCCTCCATCAGATCAACCCAAGTGTTCCTTCTCCTAACTGTCTTCTCTTCTGTCACTTCTTCCAGATGCTTTAAGCTACGTCTTACCCTGTCTTCTAGTTCAAGTCAGTTTTGTTTTCTTTTCCCCAGTTCTTGAAGTACTTTGTGCAGTCAGTGTTGTTTTTTATCAAACCTTTCTTCTTTTCCTCTATCTCCCTCCTTTTCTTTTCCCCCAAATTGCTGTTGTCAATCCTTTCTTGGTACAGAAATGTGTCAATAGATGAGATACATGTGTTATTGAATGTTGACTCAACAGAGTTATGGTTATACTATTGTGATGCAACTATATGCAGTATGTACTGTCATCAGGTTGGTTAATCAACATTTACTGGGTTTTTGGCCACACAATCAAAATGGGTTTTATCTTACAAGCCCACAATATGGAAAAGAAGTGATTATTAAAAGTGATCTCAGGCCAGTTTGGCTCATTGAAAAGCTACTCTTCCACTGGTTGTGACAGAGAAGACAGATGCTACCGGTATGTTCAGTATGTAAGAGGTTCATCATACTGGGGAATTCATCTAGACTACATATGCAAGGGAAGGGTAGAAGAGTTCATTATGCCTTGAGGAAAGTATCAGTTCTGAAAAGTTATTGAAGATAAAATCCCTTTGGTTGTGTAGTTAGGAACCCAGTATGTACAAATGTACATTGTACATAACAGTTAAGGTTACTCATAGCCCCTCACTGCCATATTCCCCCATCTCCAGTCAAGGAGCGCCGCCGACGTGCCATGAGCTTAGGTATGCTCTCACCAGATTGTAGCTCCTTTCATTATCAAGGGCTGCCCTTGTACTTGTAGTATAACTGGGGAGGATTCTTTATTTGTTTGCCTCTTGGTATACATGAAGAGCCTCACAGGCCAACAACAGGAATAGTCCTCCATACATTGTGTACATGAACCTCAGTGTTTCTTGTCTCAGGGTAAACACTGAAGCATATACTTTAAATGAGAACTTATATTCTTCTTTGTTCTCTTAGTTAAAACTCCCCATCAATTCATCCTTTTGTCATTGATGGCACGGCCCTTTCAATTGCAAACATATTAACTACAGTACTAGTATACTGATAAACTGCATGCTACTTGTACATATAAGTTCCTTATTGACTCCTATTACATGTACCATCCTATGACTGGCACAATTAATCACATTCAGTAATCATTTGTTGAATGTTTTACTTGTACTCTGAGTCTGAAATTGCATGAAAGACTTGCATGCATGAATTTCACACTAGACACATAGCATGTACATGTAGTTGTAGACTTGGTACCCAAAGTGTCCCTGCTTGTTCCATACTGACCTGTTTGCTGCCCTATTCTCCCTGCTTGCTCACACGTAGGATCTGCTCTTCAACCTGCCCTTCTTCTCGCTTCATCCAATACAGAAGGTATACAATACATGTACATATGGTACATCTTCTGACTTTCTCCTACACAGTAATAATGAGTTACTGCATGTTGATCAGTACACATGAACCCGTCCCGTCACTGACCTTTAATTTTTACAGAAATGTACATGTGTTGTGTGGGGTGCAAATTGCTGCTCAGTGCTAGCAATTTCCAGAATGCTATGATCTATGGCATTGGAGAGAAGAGCAGTGTGATATTGTTATGATAGCGTAGTACTAGTGTCAGCATTCTTTAAGTTTGATGTTAGGAAAGACTTAAACATGATGTAGGTACAGAAGTTTATTTGGAAAGTATGAGAATTACCTTGATTTTTTTGGTTGTATAATTTTTTCAGGCATGGCAACTTGATGGAGTGCTTAAATGTTCCCTCTATCAAATTTTTTTTGAATGATTTACATGTTTTCTTTTTTAAGTTTCTTTAGGAAAAGATGTGAGAAAGCCATATGGAGAATGGACATCGATCCTTGCTTTGACTTTTCCTCTGGTGTCACCCTCAGAAGACAATAATATTTAATGCTGTTTTTTTCTCTGCAATATCCAGCAATTATCCAGGAAATATTAATATGCAATATGCACATTGGCAATTGTTTTTCCTATTTTGCTGTTAAGGTTATGATTGTTGCACCACAGCTTTCCTTGTGTTGAAAAGAATGCATTTTCACCATAGGTCTATAATACATGTATGTCCTCCCCTAGGTGCGCGTATTTCGCGTCTGTCAAGTTTCCGGGGCATGTCAGTGGACAGTGAGGGGAGCGGTGCAGAGTCAGGTCCCTCAGACTTCGACACGGCCTGTGACAGAGCCAGGGTGATGGGCTACGTCGGCACTCCTCCAGTGGCCAGGAGACACGTAAGGCTTTGTTTTCAACATTACAGAAAATCTGGTGCATTGTGCTATCATGAAAGTTCATCTGTGTTCGGTAGTTACATGTTTAGAGTTAAACCTTTAAAATTTGATCCAACACAAAAAAGTTCTCTCACCTAGAGCTTTTCACCAGTCACTCTGGTCTTCCTCTGAGTAGACTGACCCAGTATTGTGTCAAGTGGGTAACCTTAAGCACACTGAAGTATCCGTTTGGCTACCAGTTCTGTATTTTAAGGGGGTTAGAGAGAGAATGGTAATACATGATAGCATAGAAGCAAATCAAACCAAGACTTCAGAACAAATAAATATAAGTTGGATGAAACTCGTAGAACTAAAACTGAAAATGTTGCCATTGAGTATTGTAAGAATAGCCTATTGCTTTGCATGCACATGTAGCAGTCATAGTTCTGTAAAAGTTTGTGCACTAATTTGTTTATCAAGCTTATTGAGGTGAAATCAGGTTGTTGTGGTAGTGATGGGATTTAACTTGCAGGCAAAATTTAATTCCAAAGTACTCTTTCCTCTTGACATATCAATTTCTTTACAGAGTGGGGAAGGCAGACCTAGAATTATAGTACGCCATGTGAGTTTTAACATACATGTAGTACTAGTGGTGAACATGGTGACAAAGGGATTCTGGTGCCTGCCTGTTGTCCCTTGCAACATCCTAAATTTATTACTTGTACATTGACCCCAGGCCCTCGACTGTATAGGCATAGTATATGATAATGGAGCTACATTGAATGTATATATGCTTTGAAATTAGGGTTGTTCTACCGGTAGATATACATTTTGTTGTGTCGCTGCACTTTATCTATGAAAGTTGAAATAATCCCTCCATGTTTCAGAGTTCACATTCTGCACAAACCAGTCCTCTGGTAAAGGATAACGTGAGTTTATGGTGTGTCAATGGTGATGGGAGAGGTGGTAGTGTTGTTGGTGGTGCAAACAATGGTTAGATAGGAAAGATCCTAAACAATAAAGGATTTAAGGAGTGCTGAACTTGATGAAAATTCTTTTAGCAGTGCCAAGGAAAGGGACCTTCGAGTTCAAACAGAAATAGAAGTAAGGTTAGGCCTAGGAGAAAAAATGTTGTGTTTCCTGTTTCCTGAATCCCGACCTACCCTACCTTTTTTTTTTGGGGGGGGGGGGAGGGGTGGACATAAATTATTCAGCTGATTGACCAATTTTTAGCTCCATGATCTGACACATGAGTGATGAAACGTTGTACATGTACAATCGATTTTCCAACATTTACATTGAAAACAAGACTGAAACAGAAAACACAACATTTTTTTCCTAGGCCTTATACATTCAACATGTTCACGTACAAAACTTATTGTTATTCTGTATCCTGTACAGAGGCACCGCCACACCAGCCATGATGACAGTTTTCTCCACGGGGCGACGTTCTTTGACCGCCAGGAGAGCTCGGAGGCAGACGTCCTCTCCAAGTACCAACAGTGGACGGAGGATGACGAGGTCTTGGATGCAGCAACGGAAGACTTGGCCAAATTGTTCGGCTTAGATGTAAGGACACTTTCTTGACTTCAGTTTCCTAAAAGTGAATAGCCAAGGCATTGCTAGCTGGACACCCTTGCTTAGGTTTGGCATGGATCTAAGTGCTGTACATATGATATACCATTGCTTGACTTTTCTTCTTCTGTTACTGTTAGAAATACTCTTCTAAAAAAATGCTGCGCAAACATGAGCAGGCAAATGTATCTTCCAAACTACTTGGCTGTTTGGCCAATTCGTTTACTCATTGGTTATCAAGAATAATAAATTTATGTGCTTTCTTGCTTATGTATTAATATATCATACAAACAAGAAAGACTGAGTAAATGTCTTGAGTTTCTGAATTTCTTCAACCACTCACACCGGGAAGAACCCCTGCTCTTTTTGATAAGTGCGATGGGTTCTTTTAACGTGCATGGGGTGTGGGTCTCCCCAAACATGGGACCTCCATGTAACGTCCTATCCAAGGGACGTCTCTAGCGAAAGCTAGGTACTCACTTCCACCTGAGTGAAGTGAAGAAAGTCGTGTAAAGTGCCTTTCCCAAGGGCACTAGATCGGTGACATTGGGTAGGATTTGAACCCGGAACCTCTTGGTTCTGAGCTTTCACTCTACCATTTATGCCACACGACCCCACTATTTCTGTCGTTTCCCCCAGGAGGAGACCCTGTTGCGAGGCAGACTGACCCTGGAACATTACCGTGCAGGACAGTACCTGGTACACCAGGGAGACCAGGACTCCAGTCTGTTCTTTGTTGCCACAGGAACACTCCTGGTCTGTCAGAAAACTGTGGACCCAGAGGAGGAGGTCAGTTAGTAGTAATACTCTGCCTGTGGCACAGACTCTGTGCTGTTTTCCAGCAGATCTGTATCGGTATAGCCAGTATAACTGCCCTTTGGCGTAACACACCAGCTTCGCAGGCGCGTGGCGCGGCAGCAGCTAGCTACCTGTATATTACACCGAATGACCTGTTACATTCAATCTTTGCACATTTGATTGCAGGAGTTGTTTAAAGCTTTCTAGTACTACTAGAAAGCAAATTCTAGTGATGATGTCCTAACTGTGCTTGGTGGCAATGAGTTCCACTCTACAATACAGTTACTGTAGTTCTTGGAAAATACAAGTTTTTGAACACCTCAATTCTTGGTTGATAACTCTGATATTTGATGGCATGACTGTTTCATAACTTACAGGTGCAATATTATTCTCTTAAAAATTCTGCTATTTATCCACCATGTAGGAGACAGTGTTGATAGTGTCCCATTCCGGTGAGTTGGTGGGAGTGTTAGCCACACTGACAGGAGAGCCCTCCTTCTTCAGTGTCAAGGCCAAACAGGACAGCAGGGTGGTTGCCATCACTAAGTCCAACTTCTACAGGTAAGTTTTCTTAACGTTTTTTTACCATCTATGAATCTCCATGCATTAGAGTCTAATGCATGCTTTGTCATTAAGTTTCTGTTCTATTACTGTTTATTCATGACAATGATCATGCCATTTGATCAGTTGATAGATGATTAATAACTTCACAGAATAGATATACAGTCACTTAGTTAAAGATTAATCAGTTGATTTAAAGTACAGTCTTAGATATGCTGTACAAATCATCAGTGCTGTTTTTTTTCACTAAGTCAGGGTTGGCTGCTTGAACAATACAGACCACAATGATGTTTTATTCACTGTTTGTAATTACAGTATAATGCGGGACTGTCCCCACGTGGTGTTGAACGTTGCCCACGCCTTTGTGAGCAGGATGTCCCCGTTTGTACGCCAGATTGACTTTGCCCTGGACTGGATGCTCATAGATGCAGGCAGGGCGCTCTACAGGTCTGTAAAGACACCCTCTCTTAATAGCTTTATCTACAGAAAGTCAAAATAAAAGTACATGTTGTAAGCTATTTTTGATAAATGCAGAACTAAAGCTCAGGCTTATGAAATTCCTCATAGCTTCTTCTTTTAAAAAGACAAATCAAAGATTTTTAATGTTAACTTTTTTTCCTTTCCTTGTACATGAACATGTAGGTTATCAACATTCTTAGGTTGAGATAGAGCAATACATTATGATTGACCTTCATGTATTTGTGGTTACTAATAATTATTAAATAGAGGCTAAGTGGAAGTTGTGTTCTCTGCAGACAAGGGGACCCGTCAGACTCCACGTATGTTGTGCTGAACGGACGTCTGCGGTCCGTCCACACCCTCGCTAACGGCAGGAAACAGCTGATGGGAGAGTACGGCAGGGGGGAAATCGTCGGAGTGGTGAGGCAAATTTTCATCCAGTCATCCTCATATAGCTATTAAATTAGTAAAGGTAAAAGTCTTTGTTTATCACTCCTTGCAACAGCTGTTACCGTACATAAAATAATCTTTTTGAATACTAATTGATTTTTAAAGCTATATACATAATGTTTTACGTCTTACTTTGCAGTTGAGTCTTCAAATTGACTTGTTTCCTTTTAATTATGGTATATTTTTTTCTGATAAATACAGTAACTATGTTTTACTTCAAACCAGATTTTAGGTCAGATTGAAAGATATCATCAATGTTTTCAGACTATATCAAAGTAAGCACTTTTGATTGCTTCCAGCAAGAAAGAGTTTAGCATATCTCTTACATGTAGTAGTATTGAAGATGATGTATTGGATGACATGTGTTGTTCAGGTTGAGACCCTGACCCAGTCCCCTCGAGCCTCCACCGTGCACGCTATCCGAGACACGGAGCTGGCCAAGATGCCTGCTGGGCTGCTGGACACCATCAAGAGAAAACATCCGCAGGTCAGTCTAAGATAAGACTCAGAGATATCCTCTTTGTGTCTTATCATTTTTGTGTGAGGTGTAAAGTAGGTGTGCTACTAAATATCTCTTTTGATACTTACAGTAACTGTTTTGAGACCAGGGTGTAACACAATTTCATAACTAGCATATGTAATAGGTTTCATTATGGCGGATGTTGCAAGTAGGCTACGTAGCAACTACATGGTACCTTACCTATACATGATTATCGCAGACTGAACATTATACAGACAGCTATAGTACATCAAGTGATGTGTTTTGAATCCTACTGTTTGAGAGTGACATGTTTGTGTTTTTTCTAGGTTGTGACACGTCTGATCCACCTGCTGGGTCAGCGTATCCTGGGCCACATGCAGCAGAGACCACAGACACCTCTTCTCGACATTCCAGGTAAGAACATGCACAAGGATGGCTTTCAAAAATACTCTGTAACTCCAGACACACTGTAATGGGTAGATTTGATGAAAAGACGGTCACAGTGCTATCATAATGTCGAATGATTAAGGTTTGTGTGTGGAGTCTTCTCAAAATTCAAAATACCGAAAAGTCCTTGTTGTTAAACCTCATTTAGGATTCTAGCCAGGTACATTTTGTACAATGTACATGTAAATTGTACCTGTATACCATGATACATCACACAAAGTTTCTGCATCAATGTTAAAGACTTGCATGTCTGTGGCTAGAAAATGCTTGTTGCACTGTTGCTATATTGATTTTTGTTACTGCAAGCTTTGTGTTTAGATTTGTGTTTGTTGTATAGCATAAGCATGTGGCATGAAAGAGTGCAAATATTCTTTGTGTAAACACAAGGTTTGCTTTCAGCTGATAACACATATAAGTTAATATGATATAGATACACTTGCTTTGAATCAAAGGCTGCGTGCAATATTTTCAGAACATTGATTAAGATGCATTTCATGCCCCCAAAATTATAAGGAAAATACATAATTTTCTTCCAATTTTTCAACTGATTCACAAAGAAAAAATGCTATTTTCAGCTTGCATTGCTGCATGTAGAATTAGACAGTGTTTGTGTCGTCATGTGCTGCATGTTTGTTGCTTTTTTTGTTTTTTTTTCTGGTGTGAACAGCCAGCATGATGAACCCAGCCTACCTCCCACGTCAGCACTCCTGGGGTACTGTATGATCCCACGTTCAGGGTGTTCATACTTTTAGTTCTCATGGGCTAGGAGCTCTTAACTTCTGTATAATTCATAGAATGCATGCATTAATGGTGTCATCTTCTCCACTGCAATATCCTCCTGTTGTACATCAATCTATCAAGATTAAGATGAAGGTTGAAGCAGCTTACAGTGTAATGTAGTTACTAGTGTTTTTACATTTGAACATATATGTAACAAAATCTGTTTATGGGTGAAGGAAAAAATTATATCTGCTTCTCTTCAGTCATGTTGTACAGTTTGACTGTTCAATGTTACATTAGAAATGTTGTCTTGTTCCACAATATTGAAATTTGTGTTATGTTTAACTATTTCCTAAAGTTTGTTTCATTAAAGTAATGACAACAACTACTCTTAGACTAGTTATGATATCATATTCATAACAAAGCCTGTTTCAGAATGCATGTTTCCAAGGAACCTCCCTCATCCTGTTTCTTAATCTTTGATCTTTTGTTGTTCACTTCTTCCATGTTCCTGATTTAAAATTTCTCTTCCACAGAACACTGCTTAGTATGAGAAACCACTGCAAATCTAGCCTTCTGTACAGTAATCTGAGCTATATGAACATGTTTTTAGCTGTGCACTTGACAGTTGAATATTGATCCTTATAAACAGCAAAGCAAAAGATCATCTATGCTTTCTTCTTGTACTATTTTAATGTATTCAACTATAAATACGTGACAAAGGTGCCTTGAATGAAGTGACCAAAACTCTGTCTGAATCAGACAAGTACCAATGATGTGCTGGTTTCCCTGTAGACACCCCGAGTGTGACCTGTCACATGGCCAATGCTAACCTGACCACCGTGGCCCTGCTGCCTGCCTCTGAGGATGTTCCACTCACCACCTTCTCCCTGGAGATGTACCACTCTCTTACAGCAATAGGTACAGACAACTATTGTGTGTTAGAAATTTAGGCTATTGGGTCCTGTCTCTTTAAAGACATGTTAATTAAGTATAGATCTAAGACTTCACATCCTTGTGAAGGTGAAAGAGTAATGAATGTTACAGTAAAATACACGTAAAAGGATGTTCAATCTTGTCACCAGATTACCATAGGTTAGGTAAATGTTTCTAGTTCTAAAGGGGCTTACATGTATTTTCATGCTCTCCTCATTTTACAGGCTCAACTCTGAGACTAACCAGTGATATTATCAAGACAAGACTTGGAGTCTCTGCATTTGACAGGTACATGTACAACACAATAACCTCCAAAATCCTTAGACTACTGGAATTAGACTACTACTGATTTTAATTTTGCTCCCAAACTGTTTAGTCCATCCATATTCCATGTAATATATTGTATGAAATTTTAGATCCATGAAGGTTGCTCACAGTATGACCACTACTGTTCATTAATATGTTGAAGCATGCAAAAATGAAATCTTTAATGTGAAGCTGTTGTTCAGTTATGTTGCTAATGTTTAGTTGAACTGTACGGCCCCCAGTGTACAGGAGTTCCGGCTGTCCAGCTGGCTGGGACAGCAGGAGGACATCCACAGGATCGTGCTGTACCAGGCTGACCCCAGGATGACAGCATGGACACAGCGCTGTATCAGGCAGGCTGACTGTATCCTCATCGTGGCTATAGGAGACAAGGAACCAACTGTCAGTGAAGTGAGAGACTCAATCATGGGAGACAAGACTTCTTCCTGCTTCTCCCTGCTGCCTAACCCCATAACCAATAGAAAATTGGTATCCAAACATATACTTCACTGGGCTTAAATGTAAAGTTTAAATAAAAAGGCATCCAATGCAATTACAGTACAAAGCAGCAAAATCTTGAGTTTCAAAGTCAATTTTCTGTTCAGTCTTTTAATGTTGTAAAAAAACCCAGTTAAATCAATCCTATCCCAATCCATACCTGCAAGGCAAAAATGCAATGTCAATTATGGAATACAGTTGCTTTGTTTTTGTATCGGCTGGTTTTAGCTATTTATGGCCATGGATGGTATAAAAAAAAGAGATGCCTTACGTAGCTTGTTTTGGGGCTATTTCAAATGCGTCAAGTCTGAAATGATGACAGAATGTGCTTAGAAATGGCAGTAAACAGATTTCGTGTTTTTTTGTGGTTTTACTGCTACAGTGAAATTGCATTGGATGTCTAACTTTAATATTTTCTGTGGCATCTATTCCACCTGTACAGCTGGAGAGTCAGATGGATGCGATGGCTGTGCGTGCTCAGAAGGAACTGGTGCTGCTGCACAAGGAGGACGTGGTGTCTCCCATCGGCACTGCTGATTGGCTGAATGCTCGCAGCTGGATCTCCTCCCACCACCACATCAGCTGCCCCAAGAGGATATTCACACGCAAAAACCCCAAGAAAGTGGTAAGATTTTGTGTCGAATGATAGAATCCCGAGAGCAAATCCTCAGCGATTGAGAACTTAAAAGAACAGAAGACAGCCAAGAAGTTTTTGGGAACTCTGCTCCATTGTGACCTGGAGTCAAGTTCAGCCCTTCATCCTTTTATTTAAAACATCTCCTTTGTAACCATAAAAAAACTACCCTATCCAGAGTCTTTCAAGCAAAATGGCTCGCACATATAACTAACTGTGATGCCTGCGAGAAATGACATACAAAGTACACAGCATTTGTATATATTTCCTGCATGTCTAGGCTTTGCAAACTTGACAGTAATATAGTTCTTAGCCTTTTTGGGATAAGGAAGATACACAGCATATGATGTGTTAAACCCATTCCCAGATGGAGATGTATGAGAAGATGTTTGAGAAGGACCCTGATCGTCACTCAGACTTCTCCCGCCTGGCACGTTTCCTGACGGGGACATCTGTGGCCTTGGTGCTGGGGGGAGGCGGAGCAAGGTACTCATCTACTGTATTTATGATCCTACAGTGAATTGGTGCCAGTACGTAGAGTGTTCGCCTTGCAGTCAGTAGGGCATGAGTATGAACTCTGTCCTAGTCATAGCAAAGACTTAAAAAATGGTGCATACTGCTTTCTCTGCTTAGCACTCAGCATTTTGGAAAGAGATTGGGAGTCAAACATACACACCACTACCATTGGACTAGCCCCCTGCTGTAGTGGTTGCAGAAAACTTGTGTGGTCCAAGGGCTACAGAAATGGAGATGGGCACCACCATATGTACCTTCTGGTGTGGGAAGGGCCTTAACTTTAACTCTTACCTGCATTAAGGTTGATTTTTATCTTAATGGAATCCTGTGACCATGAAATGGCTGCTTTAGTAACTGAGGCTGTACACTGTGTTTCCTACAGAGGTGCTTCCCATATTGGAGTGATGCGAGTTCTACAGGAACAGGGCATCCCTGTGGACATCATCGGGGGCACCAGTATCGGGGCCCTGATGGGCGCTCTTTGGGCAGAGGAGAGGAACTGGCGTGCAGTCTCAGACAGGGCCAGGGGATTCTTCTCTGTAAGTGGAGAATTATACTTTAGGTTGTAAAATTCCAGTGTGTTTAGGTCATGATATCCTAAAATATACCTGTAGAAGTGGCAACAAATTGTGTACCTTTACATGTACATATTAAGGACCGCCTGGCTATAGCATGGACACTTTTTGGTGGTCCCTTAATAGATAATTTCACCCATTGACACAAGCATTAACAAATCATGTCTACATGTATTGTAACTACCTTCCATACATTGTATAGACCAGAGGTTTTTTAATCGGTCTCCTGAGTGGTCTTCTTGTGCAGTTTTAACTGTAATCTAAAGAAAGATTGAGCTCACTTGAAAATGCTTCCTTCTTCACCTTTGTCCAGAACATGACGTCCATCTGGAAGAAGCTTGTCGACCTGACGTACCCTGTCACCTCCATGTTCTCTGGCAAGTAGCACAGATTCTTCTGGAATATTATGTTGATGACTTTTTGTATCTTAGCTGAAAGCTTCAGAATTGAACATTTAATATATCAGTAGTTGATGTCTGAACTAAACGTGAATAGGGCATGTTCTAATAAAGAGATATGCAGCAGTCAATGTAAGCAAGCAGTCAGCTTTTTTGCTTTTTTTTGTGGTTGAGTATCCAGTTTTAGTTGTAACTGTTCCATACTGAGGCAGCAATGCTTTGGCTACATTGTTTGTACATTCAGTGTGGTCTTGTACTGTAGACTATAACATAAATAATGTAATAAGTCATACCTTTGTCAGCATACTAACACTATAGATACAAATGTAGCATTCTTTGAAAAAATAATAACAAAAGGAAGGCACTGACATACTCAAACCTAGCTGATTACTGGCATTCAACTTACTTTGGTGTATGGTGTCACTCATGGTATATATGTAATACCCATGTGGAAATCAGATGTTTGTTTCGATAGGCTACAATTTCAACAGGGATATAGAAGAGGCCTTGGTGGACAAACAAATTGAGGTAAAAAATACAAGAGCTACCGTGTGAAAAATCACAACAAGTACCACTAAAACTGAGTCACTCATCATGTTAATCCCTTTATTTTGAAAGAAATCGTCCAACTCTGGAATTCCTCATTTCCAAACCCTTTATGTAGACCACATTGTTCTCTATGAAATAGGGCTCAGAACTAGTGGTACAGGTTGTGGCAAGAGCTTTTGGGCTGAAAATTCTCAGGCTCCATGCAGCCCTTATAGCATTCTAAAATTTTACTGTCTATAAGGACTGAAAACAAACAAGTACTGAAAACAGCATTACATTTACTGAAGATCATAGCATCAAAGTCTATGGTACATTCTGTATGGAGCCCAGAATTGACATCCACACTGCTTGAGGTGAATGTATGAGCACTGCACTGGTGTTAACTTGTGACATCTCACTGCAACTGAACAGGTGGTGCCTTCAATAAGGGTATAGAGGGTGTCTTCGGAGACAAACAGATTGAGGTATTTTTGTTGCAACCTTGTTTGTTTAGCTGAGGTGAACTGTTCAGTCATCCTGTCTGATCCTGTCTGATCATCGTTAATTTTTATGTTAATCTTAAGTTGTTGTATATCTTTTTCATTCTCATTCCATCAAGGTGGGAATATGTTTTGGAATATGCTTGTTCCAGCATTAATTTAATTTAATTTTGATTTATCTGTTATATGCACCAGCTTATCATTGAAGCCTTGTTTGTGATCTTTATGTGATCTTTTTGCTTGCATCTGATCGAGAGAGATAAAGTGTTACAGTAACTGTTGAAGTAACACTTCTTTTGCTTGCAGCATGACCAATGCTTTCAGTTCCGTTCATAGCAACATTGTCATCCTGTAAAATTTTAATACAATGCCTTTTGTATGATCTGCCTCTGACCAATTTATGATACTCAATTATAAGCAATGATGATGATGATGGCTTCAATAATACCAGTAACAGATTAAGGCAAAATACATATGTACGAAGGTAGTTTTATAAACGATAAGATTAGTTGTTTTGTTAATAAATTATCTCTTGATTTCATTGCTTTTCATTCCCCTTCCAATAATCGCATGTATCTTTTTTGTTTCCTTTTTTATTCCCAGATGGAATATCATTAATAATAAGAATGAAGACATAATCTTTTTCTCAATAGACTTCTTCCAAACCCTGATTGGTGATTTCAAAAGCTCTCTATCAGATTGTTACCAGAACTTAAATATTTTTTTATATGTGTTCAAACCATGTGTTCGTGAATGACAATGAATTTACTGTTGTTTTTGTTTGTGTGTTTGTGCGCCCCAGGACCTGTGGATCCCTTACTTTAACATCACCACAGACGTGTCGGCTTCCAAGATGAGAATCCACACAGATGGTAAGATGGTTCAAGTGATGCGTGCAAAAACTGTTACAAGTCTGTGTTGGCAGAGATTCTGGAAGTTGGCTTTTATCAAAAAGCTAGTAATTCAAATTGTCAAAATCATTAAGTACCTACACTGTATGAAAAGAAATTGCAGATATAGTAAGGGTTATTCGAGGTTCGCAACTAGAAAAACTGTGTTCCCTGTTTTTTCTATAGACTGCACACACACAGGCACACATCAACACACAGTACATGTACATGTATAGTAATTACAGTGTACGTTCACTGTTACCTCATTCATTGCAGTACCAGGGTCTGGGATGAAAGAGAGTGGTAACTGTTACATGTACATTTTGTTTGCCTAAAACGACTATACGGTATACCCCACATGTCATCTGTTCAAACTGCTTGTTACAGTTTATGGGTGTTATAGTCACCTTTCCTTTCTTGCTTTACTTTGCTTCCATGCTGACAGTGTTATACCTAACACATCTGTGAGATTCAAATAGTCCACCATTTTACTTGTTCCTCATTCTATATTGACTATTGTACATATGTGTGAGACTTGTGCTCAACAACTAGGCACCTAAGGGTGACTTCAACCTTGTTCACCTCACACTTTCTTGTCTTTCAAGTGCTCAAAATCAGCTTCCACAGACATTTCAACAGCTTGAGGTGGTGGGGAGAGTTTGCCACCATGACTGTCATTTTTAACCCTTTTAGTGCTATGCATTAGCTTTAAGGGTCATAAAGTTTTGGTCATATGTGCACATGTTGAACTTGTAGAAGATTATGTTACAATGCACAACCATTCAATATGTACAACAATTTTTATTCATTTTAGCAATATTATGTGAATAAGTTGATTTTGAGCACTGGTATATCATGCTATTGTTTGCTAACATCTTTCAGAGGGTTGCCAAGCTTCTGTGTATTCTGACATTTTGAAACGAACCAGTTTGTTCTGAAATGGGGTAACCGTTTTAGAATAAGAACTTGACTAAGCCATTTAAAGAAGTGATGATGATATGATGAAAGAAGATGCCCATGATGTTTGCTTTTTATCTCAAAGAGTTAATTCAGCAGTACTCCTTTCATTGCATTTCATAACAAGCAAAAGCAAGAGAAAAGAGACAATGGTTCTTATTGGTTAGCTATGTGATCATAGTGATTTTGATTGGTTCATGTTGAACAGTTCACATCTCATTTGAATTTCAGTGAGGTGACTCCTCATTGGGTTTGAAAAAGTGATCCTGATTGGTTCACCATCACCGCTTTCCTGATTGGTTTGTAAGGTATCCAATCGTTGGATAGCTCTCTTGGCAACCCCTGAGTCACCTGCCTCTCACGGTACCAGCTGTCGACCTTTCTGGTTTTGTTTCGCCCTCCTATAGGTGACGTGTGGCGGTATGTGCGAGCCAGCATGACCTTTCACCCCTACCTTCCTCCCATGTGTGATACTCGCGATGGCCACTTGCTTGTTGACGGCTGCTACGTGAATAATTTGCCAGGTACTGCCTCGGGACAGCAGTGGTGGGCTGTTCCAATGCAGTCTGGTGGAGCACAGCAAACTCACAAACTCTGATGACCAAATTCTTCCTGTTTGAAGTGTTGTCTTCTATGCACTGCAGCAAAAGCATAAAACACAAAGCTTTTAATTGCAGTAGCACGACAAGAATATTTTGATGGCATAACAGTGAAACAGACAGAAAAGAAGGAAGTTCAAAAATGAGCCAAAATTGCACACATCTATTGGCAGCTTCAGGTCATGTTTCCCAGCAAGGCTGTGCTCCATCAGTATTGGACCAGCTCCGTGAACGACCCAGTAGTTTTGACACAGAGATGTGTGTTATTTTGCCATAGGTTCCTTGTGGCGCTATGTTCGGGCCAGCATGTCTCTATCGGGGTACCTCCCCCCGCTTTGCGATCCCAAAGATGGCCATTTGTTACTGGATGGGGGTTACGTCAACAACCTACCAGGTAAGGCATTTAGTGTACACGTCAGGCAACATGGAATCATCCAGCTAGAGATCTGTGTGATGTTCCATATTGCTGGCATAAGTCTCACTACTCTGTATAAAAATAAGAAGTAGAAAGTAAAGTCTAATCTAAATATAAATGTTATGTATCGTACATGTAAGTCCAGTAGTGGTAATACACATATGACCCCACTATTGTATTTACACCAGATCCTGTGATTTCTGAGGTCAGTACGTCCTTCATGACATTGTGCTGAAAAAAGAACTTCAAAGTGTTATTACAGTACATGACAAGAGCATGCAGTCTACTTGTATATAGAAGCATGCTACATGTTCTAGGTTGAACAATTTTGATTCTGTATCACAAATATTGGATCCTAGCCTTGTAAATTGTAGTGCTAAAGCCTAATATGAATTCTACAGTACAGTATTTACAGTTTTATTAATTGAATACTATCATTGTCAAGTGTTTGAATAGATCATGATCAACACCTTTAACATTTAAAAAAAAAACACTATTCTCTTAATATGTGATGCTGTATCCTCACCAGCTTCAAGTACAAAACCAGTTTGTATATATTGAAAAAGATGTTTTTCCACTTAGATTTTGTTGTATTATTGTGGACATGCCTTTTTTCTCTGTGTGTGGTCTGTAGCCGATGTTGCCAAGTCCATGGGTGCTAACTTCGTGATCGCGGTGGATGTCGGCTCGCAGGACGATCGTAACCTGACCCACTATGGGGACTACCTGTCTGGCTGGTGGGTCCTGTATAAGAAGTGGAACCCCTTCACGGAAAAGATCAGGGTAAGGAGGTTTAAGGAGTTTTCATTATAAGGATATTAAGCTGTGTACCTCTTTTTACATGTTAAGCTTTGTCTAGATTCAGTATCTGTATCTATTTATATAGCCAGTACATGTATAACTGCCCTTCGGCATAACACACCAGCTACGCAGGCACACAGCGCAGCAGCAGCTGGCTACATTATACCGAACGACTTGTTACACCTAACCCTCGGACATGTGACTCTAAACAGTGTTTAAAGTTATCTAATGATAATGCCCCTACTGAGTTTACCACATTTTGTTTACAGGTCCTGGACATGAGTGAGATCCAGCAGAGACTGGCCTATGTGTCCTGTATGAAACAGATGGAGGAGGTCAAGTGTTGTGACTACGTCGAGTATGTCAGACCACCCATCGACAGGTACATGTATCACCACCATTGTCTTATATCAAATTATGAAGGTTTTTCAAGACTTAACATATAGTTCTGAGTATCAATATGTTATTAGCCCTTGGACATGATCTGAAGATCAGTTTGACAACTGTAACATCCATGATGATACCCAAATGGTAGTTGTATTTGAGTGGATGGCAGATCAGCACCAAGGACATTGCATGGTCAACATGAACCAATCAGCACCAAGGACATGGATGTTGGGTTCTCCCTATGCTATAAAGGGAAATTGCTGGGTTTCTTAGTTATACCAGCAAGGTAATACCAAACAAATTATAATTGTTATATTTAAAAGCTATTTTGAACCAGACAAAAGCATACTTAAGGTTCCTTCCCCCTGCACAGATACAAGACATTACAGTTTGGTGCGTTTGATGAGATCATGGAGGTGGGGTACGCCCATGCCGTGGCCATCTTCACTAACTGGCGGCGCATGGACGAGGTGTTCGGGGTACGGCCACCTGTGGAGGAGCAGACAAGACATCCACTGGTCAGGACAAACTTCAGTCTTTGGTCTTTTTAGAATCTGGAAATATAAAGGAAATTGAGGAGTATTTTTGAGTAGATAGCACACATAGGAATTGTAATTAATCTAATCAACAAGGTAGTAAAAAAACTAAAAGTTCTTCCCACATCATTTGGTTCAAACGACAGCATCTACCTCTTTTTCTATATTCGACATCCTTATTCAGCGAAAAAAAAATAATGCAGAGGATAACTAGTGCCAGACAGACACTTGAAACATCTGTAGTGATAATAAATGCAATAAACACTATTTGATACATGTATATTTGCAGAGGAAGTAATGTTTCCTTATGTTTGGATCATGTGCGTGTACATACATTTGTGTACATGTGATCATCTGCTGTTTGAAAGAAATACTGAACTCACTTCTCTGTCCGTTTGCCACAGACTGGGATCCAGTCCAACGCCTACTTCACAGACCTGGCTGAGCTGGTGTCCAGGATTCCCCAGCAGATCTCACAGAGGGAGGCAGCCATATCAGATGGTACAGCACACTATATGTACTAGTTATATCTACCAACACATGTGCACAGAGATGTGTGATCCCATTGTTGGAATTTTCTTTTTACGAAAATAGAAAAGTTACTCCTCTTTGATTTGGATTGGATGTAGTATGTATAAAGTGTGTTAAAAAAGCTATGAAATACATAAGGTATGTATATGTATGTGCCATAACATGAATGAATATTGAAGTAATTTGAATGTACTTTGTTTGAGAATTCACTCAAATACTAATCTTGAAGTCTTCTATTCAAGACCACTCAGTGAGAACATGTATCAGACAATGTAAGAAAATGATTGAACCAGCATAGATGAGCATAAATAATTTATGGCTCCAGATGCAAATTGTGTCTTTCCACCCTACAGATGAGTATTCCTCGGAGTATGAGGATGAGGAGGATGCAGACAGTGGGCTGGTGGTCTCCACGTCTGTACCAAACCTGGCAGAGGCTTCCGACGAACCAAAGAAGAGAGAAGCTATCTCTGAGGGCGGTACTCCTACAGACGAGGTACTGTCCCTGACAGTGGAACATGTCAAACATCCCACTGTCCCTGCTGCCTGCCTTTTAATAAACTAACTCTCTAACCACACGAAAAGTGTTCTCATCTTTCTGTAACTGTATACATTTTACGCTCACTTGGAAAACTTTTTCAGTAGTGTTTGCTCATTGTACATACATGTAGATTGCTCATAGCTACTGCTACAGTTGCTATTTTCCTCAGAGCATGCAGTTGTTGTTTTTTTCCATCACTATTTTGCCCTTTTCCTCATTCAAGATATTGCTGCACATTAATGATGATGTGATGGTACCAAAATATTTGCACATTGTAAGACCCAACAAGCTTCCAGAAAAAAAAATTTGGCCAAATAATATTGTTCTGAATCGTGACAGTATAAGAAGCATATATAACCGACCCATTCATATTTTCATCCTCTAACTTAGTAACAAAACAGTTGTAGTTGTTGTTCTAACTCTAGAAATAACCACTTCTAACAGTAGACTAGCTTGTTGTGCTGTTTGTCAGTGTGGGTTGACTGGACTATTGGCCCTCCCAGGGCAACTTTTCGTTCCTCTCTTGCCAACAGAACAACCTGGGGCCGCTGGAGACAGAACTGAGACAGAGACACAGCCACGCTGAGCTCAGGGAGAGTGCAGAGGAGGAGGAGACTTGAAACAGGAAGTCGTACCATTGGAACAGGAAGTGATGTCATCATCACCATGACAACAGGGATGCCTCTCAACTTGCCTTTCAGTAGCCATATTGTTGTGTACAGGTGTGGTAGGTGATCACAAAATGTTAACCTTTTATGTGATAACCAGAAAACATAGAGTGTTCCTAATGCTCAAGTTAAAACTGCCAGAAGAGTACAGGATACACATGTATCACTAATGCAGGGCCAGTAATTGTTGATCAATACATATTATATTTAAGAAGTTGTGACTTAATACAGTTACAGTAGCTTCTTCTGTTATTTCCGTGCTATTCCAACTTGTTGCCTAATGCTGCTTGATAACCTAGCAATTTGTGATTTAATATTGACAGCTCTCAAATTACAATTATAATTGAAAGAATAATACTATCCAAGCCATTAGTTAAGAACAAGAGGCTCAAAGTAAACGACTTAGCAAGCATATTGTGTATACATGTATATGTTGTCATAGCTAATCATTACATATAAGTTATGGAAAGTTTGCCATTCCTTGCTAATTGACAGTGTTGAGAAAAGAGCTTTTAATTGGAGAGTGATTAGCCATATTGATTGGATTGGATTTTCTTGTCTCTCAAAATGAATTGGTTTGAATTCTTTGCTTTCTCTTTTGGTTTGTTATTTATTTGTTTTTAGACAGTTGCTGTAGGTTTGCTGTGTTTTAGTTTCCTTTTTTAGTATTATTTAACATTTTTTGTGTGGTTTGGGAAAGTTGTTGTACAGAGATTTATTTCAACAGAGTATTTATCTTCTCATATATTGTTTAGCCATGAAAATGATTACAGGTATGATGATAACATCCTATTAATATTATATTGTATTAATGTAGGCCTTGTAATTAATGCCTGCAATAAGCTGGTAATTTTCTAAATCCTACTTTTCAGAGATGATGGCCATGATGGCATACATGTATGAATGAACTTTTTGAGTTCAACCATTTCCTGTGCTGTGTAGTGGTTTTACTACTACTTTTAGTTACTAGCATCCCTGCCTCTGGATCACAAGGTTGTAGGTTCAAATCCCATCATCATTTTCTGAACCCTAATCTGCACATCACATGGGAACACTGTAGCCTCTTGGCTCCATGTTTAAGGTGCAGATTTGTATTGCAGCATGATGGGAGACAAGCAGATGATGCATCTGTATTTTGCTATATCCTTGCAGTGGCTACATAGCTGCTATCATACATGTAATTGTAGTGTTTCTCAATTGGATTGATATTTTGTAGTTGTAGGGTAGCTTTGCACAAGCTGCTCTTGATATCTTGTACAAGTTACAAGTTGGCTTTGCTATAAGCTTGACGCCGGGATGTTAATATTAATGAGCAAAAGTTTTGTAGTCTAGGAGTTTTTTGGTTGCCAAAATTGTAAATGCTGGAAAGATAACATGACTATTTGCCAACTAAAATAGCCATTGTTTGTTTCATTAATTTCACATGGCACCTTGTCTTCTTTCATGTTTACTTGATAAATGAACTTAAAGCCCACAGATAAAAATCAGTACTCAAGAAAACCATAGACATGAATACAGTATAGTTATATTTATTCTCTTCTGAGGCACACTTTTTTCCACATACTTAAAACAATAGATATTCTCCAGGCTTCTATATGACAGGAACACATTTTTTTCTTTTTGTTGTGTTTGCTACAAAAATTGTGTATGCCTAGATATTTAACATTTATTTAGATTAAACTCTCAAAATATATATAATACTGTGTTATATACAGTCAATTCTTGCTGTTTATATTTCCACATGCTCTTGACATCTAACACTGTAAGAATTCTATCAGTAGTCAAAAAGAAATACAGTACTATCTGTAATTTCTCTGTGATGAGCACACTGGTACCGAGCACTGCCAAGTTTGTAAAATCTGCCTGCCTTAAAATTTAAGTAATCTGTCAGCATTTAAGTCTGAGTGGTTGATGCCAATCAACTCTGGTAAAGATTAAATGAACACATAGTTGTCTTCAGCTGCCCTTGACAAGATAGTACACTGTGCTGACTCTGCAACAATATTTCCACAGTCTGTCAGAGATTTTCTGACATCTGTCATTTTCTGGCACAAAACAAAACAAAACAAAGCTAGCTGAGGTATTACTGAATGCAACAAAATATCGTCTTACTTTTCCCACATTTGAATCTGCATTGTTCCATGCATAGATTGCAACATTGCTGATCTGACATACACATGCATGTACATATACTGGACAGTTCACAATAGCACCAAGTCTGATAATCTCATCATAATACTTAACATGCATGTATTCTTAGGCTTGAAATAAATATTGCCATGTAATATATTTATTTTCCTGACCATCTATGAAAGGAACCCGTGATATCTCTATAATACATATAAAGAAAAACATACAACTCAAAATAGGTCTTCTTGGACAAGCTTTTGGAAACCCTGACCTGGCTTCCGACCTCTCCTCCTATGACCTGCCCCTTGCAGTTTGAACTTCATTTGCATATTTGCAAAGTCTTCCGGCTGTTCCTTCTGCCGGGTCTTGGCTGCCTGCTTCAGCCTCTGCTTGGTCTCCTTGTTGACCTTGAACTTGAGAAACCCGTGAAAGTCGTTGCCCGGTTCAGAGTTGGCCCTGTCGCGTAGCTGTACGCTGTAGTACGGCATGCCGCCGATGACGGGGGTCAGGGCGGGCGGCGTGGGCTTGGCAGAGCGGAAGGTCATGAGCGTCCCTCCGTTTCCCGTCTCTCGTGATGCCGTCACCTGCAGGGACTGGTAGGCGTCCTCGGCAGACCCTGTCATGGGACTTGGAGATGTTGATGTTATATTTCCACTTGTAGAGGAGGTGGCAGAACTTGTTGCCGGTACTGCGTCACTTTTAATGTCCTCCTGTGTGGTTACTGCTGGGTTGTTAGCGGTAGAGTTTGCGCCCTGAATGAGCGCCTCCACGCTCTGCAGCTCGGACAGGTGCGCGGTGCGGATGTGTGCCTCCATCGCGTCCCGGTCCTGGTCAATCCGCCCGCACAGTTTACACTTCATGGCGCAGCCCACGTCGGCGACGTCCGCGGTGACGCCGGACTGCAGGTGCTTCTCCATGTGGTCCCTGCGCCGCGTGGTGTACTTACACTGCTCGCAGAACAGCAGCTGTTTCCCCGGGTGGCTGGTCACCACGTGCTGGATCAGCTCCTGCTGTCCCTCGTAGGAATCCCCGCAGATCTGACAGATGTACTTGCTGTACCTGATGACGTTCTTACACCCGGGCGTGACCTTCGCCGTCTCCGAGGCTGACTCCTTGCCAGGACTGGCGTGCTTGTTGGCGTGTAGGGCGAGTAGATTTGCGTTGTTGGAGGTGAAGGGAGATTCGGGACACTTGTTGGGTTTGCTGGAGTTGTGGTTCTTGACGATGTGTCGGTACAGCACTGCTGAGTTGGACGTCACAAACCCGCAGTGGAAACAACTCTTCAACCCACCATGTACCTGTGGACATGACATAGTACAATGTATCAGTCTGTCTGTTCATACAGTAGTTAACTTCAGTTGTTTGTGCACCATGTTGCAACAAAGTTGGTACTTCGCTAGAAACTTTTTTCCTTTGAAATTTCCTTAGAAACAGACCACAGTTGGTCCAAATAAACAGTCATATTAAACATACGCTTGTGCCTTGTGACAGCAAGAATGAGAGCAACTGTTAACAAGACTTGCCAGATGCAGTGACCATAACCCACCTTCATGTGTTGTAGGAAGCCTGGTCCCCAGCTGCAGGTGAAGTTACAGATGGAGCAGGTGTAGTCCTTGGACACCCTGTCACCCCCTACTGACAAGTGGCGCAGTCTGTGTGCCTTCAGCAGCTGCTTGCTGGCAGCCTGAAGTAAAGTAATAGTCATACATCACTCATAAATATTTAAAAAAAAAAACTGAGGGAAACAATGTTACACAGACAAAGAAATGTATATTGAAATGCAAAAGAAACTGCATGAAAGTTTCCGTACCTGATAGCTACAGTGCTGGCACTTGAAGGGTTTGTCCAGGCAGTGTTTGCTGTACACATGCTGCTTCAGGGTGCTCCAGATGTTGGTGGCATGGCCACAATAGATACACTTGTACCCTCCTGTGTAGGTACGGAAGAATAGAGGTTATTCACAGTCACTGTACATTGCAAAGCCATGTACATGCACTGCATCAAGAAATACTTCTACTAGCAGTATCTAGTGACTTGTCACTCAAACCCCAGAGGCCCAGACATTTATATACCATTTACATGTACTTCTCTAATGGCTGGTAGCTCCTGAATCAATTTGCAATTGTAACTTCCATAACTGTAAGAAGTCTTTCACCTGAAATATTGGATAAGACAGAGATTTTAGATCTACAATGTAGTAATCTAACTCCTGTCCATGTAAAGGTCATGGAAGAAGCACTGACCTTGATCAGAGTGACACTTCAGGTGGAAGTCTAGATCCTCAGCAGTCTTGAAGGATCTCCGATCACACTTGGGGCACTTGTACTCAATCCAGGACGTCTCCTTGGTCAGCCACTCCCCGCTGTCAGCCTGCTGTGTCTCTGATTGGCTCTCCTCCATAGCCGCATCTGTTGCCATGGAGACGGTCCTGGCGATCCTGGGCACGACGTCATCGGAGCCGCCGCCCTTGCTGGCGTCCTTCTGCACCATGTGCATGAGGTGGATCTTCTTGACGAAGCCCTCCCTGGTGCGCAGGGCGGCCATGCCGGGGTGCTTCTCCAGCTCCTTCTGCAGAACCGGGTGGAACTGCGGCAGGCCGCCCTCCGACATGGTGTCCAGACGCGCGGGGAGACCCGGCACGACCGCGCTGTTCCCAGCGAGACAGAAAACGTCCATGTCTTCCTCGGACGAGGGGACGTCCACTTCCGAGTCATTCCCTGAGTGTTCGCTGCTGTTGTAGTGAGGAGAGTATTTCCCCTGGGGTGGGGAGTCCCTCCCCGGGGAGGACAGGTGAACTCTCCCCGGCTGGTCCTGGGAGGAGTCTGGGCTCATCTGTGGTTCACTACCCGCTGGGCTCTGCTTCCCTGAGGGTGGCTGGGTGGGGGACATGGCCACGTCCTTCCGAACAGGCTCGTACGAGACAAACGGCCACTTGTCTATCCGACACAGCTCCATGTCATCCTGGGGCTCAGTCTTGATGCTGCGGAGACCGTCACTCAAACTAGTCAGTCTGTTCACAGCTGGGATTGAGGTGTTCTGAGGAGGCTGTAGGCACCCTCTTGGGCACCCATCCTGGGAGGGTTGCATACATCCACAGGGAGAAGAGCAGTCTTCCTTCTCCTTCTTCACTTTGACCTCAGAAAATCCTGGTAGGGAGACTTTTGGTTCCTGAGGTGTTGTGGACACCTGAGTTGTGATACTGGGGTTATTCTGCAAGGGCGCAGGGTGTGTTGATGCATCCTTATCGCTCAACCTGTGTGTTTTGGCTGACAAGTCCATGGGGTTACAGTCTATTTCTGAGTTGACCTCTGACCCTGCGGGTAAACCAACCTGTGGCATGCTCCTCCCACAATGCACCTGTCTGACATGTTCCAGCACCGTTATTTTCTCAGAAGTGTAAAATCTGCACTCCTTACACTTGAAGACTTCAATAACAATAGTCTCTATCATGTCTTCTGCGTTGCCATCATAGTTGACTGTTGGGTTTGAATGGTCCAATGAGAAAGGTGCTTCCTCCCTAAGATGTAGCTGAGGATGATAACTGTTGAGAAGGGAGAGTCCCATGCTCCCATTGGTCAGGGGAAGTGATGAACTGTGGTCCATTCTGGGTGTGTCTGGATGCATGGCTTCTGACTGGCAAGATTGTTCTTTGTTGTACTCAGCTAGACTTATTCTGACATCTGACACAACATCTGGCTGTGGTGCAGTCAAGATCACGTCTTCCTGTTGGGAAAACAAAGAAAACATGAGGAAACAAAGATTTTATAACAGGTGAAATCATTGCGACCTTTCCCATATCATATTGCCAAGGGCACTTGGCAGACTTCTATTTCTGTCATTCAGAGGGACACTAACAGGGAGAATATTCTTTTTCAGCACTCTATCCTTGTTGAGGGGATTTATTTTTCGTAGCATTTTAGAAGCAAAATACATATATTAATTTTGTTCGAAATCTCAAGTACGTAACGAAAGCACGATTGTGGCCATCATGTTACCATTACGAACTTCGTTCCACACTGGATGGAGCTACATGTATGTCCTCTAACTAGAGTGTCCTAGGATAAGGAAAACCGAATATAGAGTACTTCCTACTAGTACTTCCTACAGCAGACAGCTAACTAATACTCAATTCTTTACACAGGTCGTTCACTCTCTTCATGCACGCGTTACTTCGTACACTTTGAGTCTGAGGGTTTCAAAGCATTGCTAACCAAGGACATTCTACCGTCCTTGTGCTGACGCAGTATTTCTTTTGAAGTGTAACTGGCAACAAGTCTCGTATGCAGCACAAGTACCCACCTTCTTTGTAGCTTTCGGTTTTGACAGATAACTGACTGATGGCCCAATTGTCCCGTTATACGCGGGACGACCCGTTCGTTATTCTAACCATCACAAATAAATGCCTCTACGCAAATATCCCGCCCCTGTGGGACATGTTATGTTTCTGGGATGGCCTGCCCTTATTTGGTAAAAACCTGTGGCCGCTATGCGTATTCCCAAAACAGATGTCTCCCCTTCAGATCAGCCATTTGTTTTCATAATTGATGAGTGGGGTGTTTTCATTTTGCAAGCACTTAAAATGTGAGTTGCAGATCGTTAGAATCACCACTACAGCTTGTTATCTTGTCATTATCAGAGCAAAGGATCCCACTCTGTCTGTAATTTGTAACCCACAAATTACAGAAAAGGTGGGATCCTCGGTCTTCAAAAAAGAAGTCAAACCCAGTACGTAGTTTTTACCAGTAGTTTGTCAGGAGTTGTCAGTAGTTCTCTGTCTATTAATTGCCTGTTCTTATACTAAATGTTTCTTCTTGCAATTAGCCCTCGGGCATGAATTTGCAATAAAACATTTCATTACCTGAAAATCGCTATCATTGCCAGCAGCACTGATCTCCCAAACCTAATATACTGCTCTGACCCGTTTAATATCAGCCAAAGAAATCAGCAGCAGATGGCGAAGGAAAGACGATGAAGCACGTAATTTGTTCAGTTGTAATATTTCAAGTCTAGTGGTAATTTTGGTATCTTAGCGTCTTAGTGTAAACGAAGATCCAAACAGTTCCGATTACTTCTGGGAAGCCGTGTTTATTAATCCGTATGTTATTAACTCTACTAACAAGTACATGTATGGGGTCTAATGGTTTACAAGAGCGCCTATAAACCCCCCACTGTTATACATTAGTACAGTAGTACAACAGCACAATACCAGTGACGCAAGTGGAGAAGATGGAAACCGCAAGTGAGGAAATTTGCAGATGCGGACGTTAGATCTTAGATCGTGTGGAGGAAATGAAACCACGTAGAAATGATTCACGTGGAAAATATTTTACCTCATCGGTGTGTCGGGGAGCCGAGGCTAAATAGGTCATAGGGGACATCAATCACTCAATTAATATGAGGCATGCATGGTACAGTCATATTGCGTGTCCTTTCAGTTTTTGTTGAAAATTTCAGTTTTTTCCAGTCACTGACGAAAGCTAGTGGATACTAGCTGAAACGTATGACGTTTTCAAAATCATATCCAGTTGCTTGAATAACTGTTTTTTGGCATTTTGTTGAAAATGTTACAAACCATTAATGCAACCTGAAAGACAGCAAAAATTGCAAACTTTCAGTTTACCCTATGTTTGGAAAAATAATTGCGTTTCGAAACAGTGCATCGATACAGTTAATTCAAAGTATACGAAAGATCTCTTGATTTTAATTTTGCGTGAAACAAAACTGCTCTACGAAACAAAAATTACAAAACAAAACTATACATTTTTTAGTTTAGGCATTTTCGTATCGTGTTTCTTTCCTTGTGGCCCCTTGAACCCGGGTCAGGTTACGTTGGGTTCCTGCCAAAGAAGTAGGAACAAGGATTTGTCAAATGTCAAAATATTTACTTGCGCTCTGCACCGAATTTCGCGGCAAAGTACTGGCCTCAAGAACCCGGAAGTAACGCAATCACACACACGAGCCCGTCGGCAGATACGTAATGTTACAAAGAAACCTCAACTTACCTATCGAGTGCGTGATTTGGTAAGAAATCCGCCGGCTCAGCTCTCGTAACCCTCTCTACAACGTGGCAAAGCGTATAATACCGGCGTCATCGAAGCATCATCTCCCGGGCAGGCCTACGCAGCGCAACCCGGAAGCGAGTGGGTTCGCGGAATGCCCACTCTCCCGTCAAGCTTTGCCAAGGAAAACAACCCGTGCCCATATATGGGCAAAACTATCTATAAACCACGGCTGCGGCACCTCCTTATATGGGCAAAAACTCGCCGGTAAGGAAGCCAGGGCTGGCCAAGGGCGAGGGGAGACTTCCAAATTCGGTGGATTCGGACACTGCGATTGCTTTTTATAGCGTGAGAAAAATTTAGTAGGATAAATATGTACTGGAGGGAAATAGCCAGGCCGGCTGTGTATGAACATGTTTTGCGTGTCCATGATAACTTTGTCCGTGTTTGGCGGCGCGCAAGTCAAGATATTCCTTTTCCGAATCCAAGGAGAGTACAGAGGAGAATATGCCGAATTGGGGTAAAATTCAATGACAGTTCGGGCAAAACACAATAACCTAAATCCTTCCCCATGTATCATTGTTAGTCATATCAACATGCAACATTTATTAAGGACGCTGAGTCCAAAAGAGACACAGGTTTTCCCTAGACGGATGTTAATTAAGTGATGACGTATAGTTTTCATATGAAACAGAGACATCCAAGGACATATGCTAATGTCAAACCGTTTCATTTTCATAAGGAGAACTAGAAACAATTCGTGCTTCTACATATATTATTGATTTTTTTGGTCTTTTATATATGCCGTTTCCACAATTTGATATGACCCTTTTCCTATCTGCGTCACTGCTGTCAGTAGTGGCAGTAAATGTGTTGATTTACAGTGGACATTGCGTGTCTGATGTCTCTGGAAACGCCGTCAAAGCTAAATCAGTCTGCTGGCGTCCTTGTCACTAAGCTACTATAGCAAACGCTGATTTATTCAAGAAGATTTAAAAAATGCATAAAAAGCCCGCTGCAATTAGATTGGAAAAAGCCAGGAGTTCCCTTGTTTAACTTGAAGAACAGCTACCCTCACAACAAAAATTAAAGAAATGTACGGACAAATAATCGAGTTATAACCTCGACCTACATGCGAATCCACATCAGGCCACAAAACGATTTCATAGTCTTCTTGATCATGACGAAGGCAATTAAAGTTAGATTCGTTTCCCGCGTGCCCTCTAACTAGGGATGGCTGAATTTTTCGTATAACGCCGATTAATGATATGCTTTTCATTTTCCATCTCTTTTCAGGACACTAGCTTTCTCTCGATCTCCCGCCGATGTTTTCCTATGACGTTTATAGCGGCCTGGGGTTTGAAAATAGACTCCACCTCCCTATGAAATGCCCATATAAGGGTGTGGGGTTGAGACGTAACGTAACACCGCGCAATTTCATATCTGTAGTACTGAGTATGTGTCGTCTTCGGCCATCCCCTCCGTAATCCTATTATTTCTATATTAGGTGTTGCCATTTGCCTGCTTTATTTGGGCCACCCGATACTGCAATGAACTTAGCCAGCCAGTAACAATGTTATCTTCCCATTACTATCTACTATGTGCTGAAATTCAGAGTAGCCTCTACCACCAGGCTTCGGAAGTGGTCACCTGGAGTCCAGCCTTGTTAGCTTTGGTTTGTTATAGCAGATCTTGGGCCCGGAGCGGAGCTGGACTCCAGGCTATATTTGCCGCAGTACTCTTTAGTGGACCAACTTCCCTGGCATGTTATGTCAAATTTGGCCAATTTCTACTCTTTTCAGTCGCTTCCGAAGCCTGGTAGATACTAGTGCTAAACTTGTAAAGAACGCACCATTTGAAAGATCTACCAACAAGTGAAAAGGCGAAATCTGGCATCTGCTTGGACATTGATACTCCGTCTCCAGAGAGGACCACTGTGCTGAACATAGCGCGCCAGACTAATAAATTTCCTCCCTGACCAAATTTGGCCGTCACAGGCTGTCAGCTACACGCCTCGTGCGTACTCCAACTGTCTCGTTATCAGCTGATGAAAGAACATCGAGATGACAAGGACGACAGCAGACTGATAATAAAGCTTTGACGGCGTGTCTAGAGACATCCCGTAACGGTAGAGTTTTCGCCTCGAAACCAAGAGGTCCTGAGTTCGAGCCTTGCCATGCCACGTGCGTTTGTCTACGTTTGGGGCGGCATAAAAATAATTTTGAACAAGAGTTCCGAGATCTCATACCTCCATGAAATATGGGCTTGACATGTAAATGTAAATTTCTTCTTTAATTATGTAAATTACCTCCACATTAACATAATAAATGCATCGTGATGTTAACTTTTGATTAACTTACACATGTACCAACTATGAAATTCCCATCATTTACCACTAAGGAGTCATAGAATTTTCGCATTAATTATGCAAATTAGATCATTTGCATAATTGGTATCTGTTGATGTTCCATCTGCCATAGATTACATACATTACATGTATGAAAGTACTATAATGTAAAACACTGTAATTATAGAATTTCCTCATTAATTATGCAAATTAAGTCATCATTTGCATAATTTGTAGTTAATTATGTACATCTCTCTCTCAGCTACCTACCTACCAAAAATGATGATAATACCTTGTTCCTATCTGGACTTATTGGCTTTTAAAGATTTCACCCGAAAATCTCCTGCAGTTCCAAAACAAGCTGCTAGGGGGACCAAACTCACGCCACTTATTCCTGACAGGAAAAGCTATCTGTCACCAAAAAGTCAAGACCATAGCATGTTTAGGACAAAAGATACAAAAACCGGAAGTTCTGCTGCAGTACCAAGGTCATCCACCAGGAGGCCCATATTTGACCTTGACCTTTGTCTTCCTAAGACTTACCAGCGTACCAAATATCATCGCAATCCATAAAGGCGTTATGGAGTTATGCTGACTACAAATGTGCGGAAACACAAACACACAGACACACACACATACAGACACACACACACACACACAGACAGACACGCCTCCATGAAATATATGAGTCTTTGTATACAGTACACTAAGTGTTTCAAACACACAGCTAATACAAACCCTAACCCTGAAATAGGTCACCTATTCCCCTGAGGGGACCCCATTAATCAAACCGGGTCCCAAGCGCACTGACTCGATAGCCACACAATGAGACATCTGTTGTCTGCAAAGGAGATTCCGCATTAAACCGGAAGTGCTACTGCACTACCAAGGCCATCCACCAGGAGGCCCATATTTGACCTTGACCTTCGCCCCCCTAACACCTACCAGCAAACCAAATATCACCACAATCCATGAAGGCGTTATGAACTTATGAAGGTACAAAAAAGCGGAAACACAAACACACATACACACACACACACACACACACACACACACACACACACACACACACACACACACAGACGAGCCAAAAACAATACCTTCCATTTCATGGAGGTAAAAACTTGAGTGTATCGTCGCCATGTATTGTGATAAATGTTGGAATAGAAAAAAGAAAACATTGGGTTATGATCAGTGAATCTCTAGGACTTCAATGATAAAAGCTTGTAGCTGTGCAGTATGCCTTTGGGTAGCTTAAATCGTGGTTAGACGTCTAGTGTTCGGTAATGTCATCGCTTCATTCCTTTGTCATAAAAATGTTTTAAGGTATGATCGACATGGAACTCTTTCGTAAGACCGGTATCCTGTCACGAAAATATGGCAGAGTGATCGAGTGGATTACACTTACATGTAACGTTATATGCCATTCTTTTCCATTTTTGCTGTTATGGGTTGACTCGATTGGTCTATCAAATGTCGGTTTGCATATATACTCTTATGTATTGCTATTTGGTGAGGCAGCCGTACAGTGGCGTATAAACTTGAGGGCGCTAGCGGAACGATTTACAGAAGAGCACTCTCCGGCCTACTTAAACACAGCGCCCCCTACGTCCATAGATGGGACTGCAAGACCGGCGACTCTTTTACTCGTCTTCGACGTCACCAGAGATGAATCATGTGTAGAAGAACGCGTCCCGCCTGACTAATGACCCGCCCTGCTGTTCTCACGGGTTCGGGCGACCTTGCCACTCCCTCCGCGCCACAGAAAGATGACACATAAAATAGCGCCTCGGACATGTATTATTCAGTATCCCGGCCAGAGGTTCGGCTGGGGGTTTATATCAGTGTCACTGCACTTGTTCTATCTATAGATGCAGCGTTCAGCTATTTCTGATAAACTGTCCAAATCTATTTCTTTGTAATGACGAATGTTTGTGAATACGCGTGGCTTTGCAATCTTTCTTATAACTCAGGAGTGCGTGTACGATGAATTGACACATAATAATTACCTACTTTGCCGACGACAATTATGATATATTGCATATTGAGAGTATGTCTATATTACAAAAATCCCCTATTTTATTCAGGGCCACAGTAACACACACACACCTTAGTTGTCGTTCTTATTACGTGTGGCTACTCAATAAAATGTAAAGAACACAGTTGTCACATTTGACACAGCACTTTCCATTATACAACATTTCCTAAAACGTTAAGGTTAGACTGTAACGTTTCCCCGATGTTGTCACGGGGTGAAGGTGACCTCTGACAGTGACAGAGTTGTTATCATCCACGTGAACCCGGCCAGGTAGGTAGATAAAGGTGATCCGACTCAACACCTGGTCCGACCAGTTCTTACCTCCCCACGTCAGCCAGGTGAGCCGTGTAGAACACTCCCCCACAGGTAGGGACGATTTAAAACTTCATTTTACTTCATCTGTCTTAGTTCTAGTGCATGTATTTAGGAGTCCTATCAATGTGACGCCCCCATATTGATAGATATAATATTAAGCTTTATATACATTTGTTCAATGGCGTCCCAAATGTGTAGTTCGAATTCATTGCCTCGTCACGCCTCTCTGCCGGTTGCTCACAGGAAACTGGAATTATAGTTGATTTCTATAGACCAAGAGGACTTACAGAATGGCACGTTTTCTCTGGCTTTTGTACAAAACGTGGAAATATCAGAATGTATGGGCGTTAGCTGACAGCTGTTGTGTTGACCTTGATTTGGGCAACAACAACAACAAAACAGGTGGTCAGTTGTAGGACTACAGATTATAACAGCTCGGACAATATTCTGTGTAGGTTGGAGAAGGATTATTTGACACATTTTTGCCCAATTGACATTAAGTCGTCGTATTGTAGTCCAATGACAACGGAAGTGCGGCCTATAATTTATTTCTAATGATAGGCTTATTGGTAGGTTGTATTGAGCGCTCGTTGCCTATAACTAATCTTACCATATAGAGAATTTCTGAATCTCTTTCTGGTAATTATCGGGACAACAGGGGTGCTATCCCATTAATTTACCACATAGAGAACCATATAGAAATGTTTTGGTGGTATATTGGGATAGAATTTTATACCTATAGCTATCCCATGCTGTAAAAGTAGTTAGCACGTTTTTTAAAGACAAAATTTTACAGCTGTACTAAATAAATGGGATATATAACCAAAGCTGCTTTGATACGTAAGAACATATATAGACAATCTGTGGATCATATCAATGTCTGTATGCCCCGACGCCTGTGTCCCACATGTCAGGACGCTTCTCGTTCGCAAACAAAGACAGAACACATTCACCCGACGGGTATCTAGGCACCACCCAGACAGTCTAGTTAGGCCACGACAAGTATGTTGTTCACAGTGACAAAAATCTATTCTTAAAGATCTACACTTCCAGTTAAGACTGCTTGATTGTTTCCAAATGTATAATACTATTATATTATGGAGAAACAAAATTATAAGTCTGTCTTGATTATTTTTGCTAAAAGTCAAACGACATTGTTCCGTCACAATTATCTCGTAGCTTATCATGAGACAAATTGTGAACTAGTGACGGCCTTAATTTCACAGGGCACAAAAGGTATGTAGCCGCGGGCAGGTATTATGCAAATCACCAGCGGGGGACGCTAACAATTACAACTTTCACTGGCCATTGTCCCTGTGTGTATAGTCCTATACGAACAACACCAGCCGAAAACTATCTCTTCTTTTATCCACGTAAGTTTACCTGCACCAATCTACTATAGGTACGTGTACAAGATATATATATCTTGATCTACATTATGAAAATATTATGTCATAGCATCAAGGGCGTGAAATTCTATAAAGTTAGATATGTGCAGGATATATTCGTATGACTTTGAACGTGACCATTGTTCTAGAGATATAGACACGAATGTATGGTGTCTGAAATTGATAGTTTTGTGTACGGTAGGTGAAGTTTTGTGCAGGTGAAAATATAGAGGAAAAATAGGCACATGGTCAAATAGGCACATGGTCAACAATTCAACACCCGACGAGTCAAGGCTGACAGAGATTAAGGCTAGACTAGTCTTGGTGGGGAGTTGTAGTATGTACATTCTGAGATGCTTAGATTTCCATACTGTACTGTGTAATGTGTTTAGATCATGGTACTGTGCTACCGAAACACTAAGCCTGTGGTATACGTTTACATTATGCTGCTCGAAAGCCCTGTTTATTACCTACTAGATACTTACTTTGTAAGTACAATGTTTATGTATCTTGAAAAGGTCATTATCAGCAAGAACCTTTTCTTCGATGGTGAAAACTTGCATCGTCTATTCAAGTTCTCAATTCCTAACTGCTAATTTTACATATAATAATTGCGTTGCAAAGTACATCTTTGATACTCGGTATTCTAGATCCAGACGTGAGGATGGGGAACGCCAGCGGGTCCTCCCACCGGCGGGTGTTCAGGAACTATGACGGGACGGAGGAGGTGGAGCCTCTGGTGGCGTACTTCACTCCCGTCAGGGGCAGGATGATGAAGGACCCGCTACCAGGTATGTTGGAGTTAAAATGGACGGGATATGTATTGTGGGCTCTAGTTTGTGAAATTCCTAACAACAATTGTTTATATTATGTGTATCTCTCTCTATCTCCTCTCCCTGTGTGTGTGTGTGTGTGTGTGTGTGTGTGTGTGTGTGTGTGTGTGTGTGTGTGTGTGTGTGTGTGTGTGTTTGTATTTGTGTGTGTCTCAGTGTGTCTGTGTGTGTCTTTGTGTATGTATGTGTGTGTGTGTACTGTTTGTGTGTATGTGTGTATGTGCGTGTGTTCGTGTGTTTGTGGTGTGCCTGTGTCTGTGTGTGCGTATGTCTGTGAGTATGTGTGTGACTGACTGATTGATTGATTGATTATTTCACTTGTACTGAATCCCAGGTATGAAGTTGGACACGTCGTTCAAGAACCGTTGTAAGGACGGCCTGGACGCCACCTGGCAGATCGCGTCAGTAGTGCACCATGCCGGCCTCAACAACCTGCGGGTCCGCGCAGTGGGTGTCGGGTACTCCTGGTCCAAGATGACAAGTACCAGGGACATATTGATAGGTAAGGCAAGAGGTATTAGCGTTTCATACTAATTATTTAAGACAATGCAATGTTCAACATAAACCCTTAAAACTGTTTTATCTATCATTATAGACATGTCCGGCCTTACTCGTGTCATCACCAAGCAGCCACAAAAATACTTCGAAAAGTACTACCTGGTCGAGGTGCAAGCCGGGAAGGTTGTCCGGGAATTTGTCCGTGAAATCGACATCAAGTTCAAGTTGGCGCTTCCGGGAATGGACAGCTTCATGGGCCAGACGGTGGGCGGGGCCGTCAGTACGTCATCACACGGGTCAGGGTTCAACCTGCAGAGCATTGTAAGTCTTTATCACCAAGTATCAGAATGTCACCCAAGTACAAACGAAGCAGAAATGCTATACATATATATGTATTTTGAAACGGTTATGAAAAAGTACAGGCAGCACACACTCTATGCTACTGTACTGTGTAGAAGGTATTTCATAGGTTAGCTGTCAAAGTCCTAACTTTGTAGAGATGTGATAGTTTTTACCTAGATTTTAAAGACCGACTCCAGAAAAGAACAGTACAGATGATCAGTTGAGTATCATGAAAAAACACCAAAATTGAAATAAACGAACGCCTATTGGTAACACTAGACCAGATTTACAGATTTTCATCTGTTTCAGTTTTTCCTGGTGTTTTGGGAAATAGAAAACATGCTCTTTGTTTCTTCCCAGTCCAACTCCATAGTAAGTCTGCACATGATCATCGCCGGCGGGATCCAGGTCATCATACGGGAGCCCACGGCCATAGAGACCGACATGCCTCTGGAGCACGTCCGTGCCCTGGTCGCTAGGGCGCAGTTTGGAGACGGTCCCCTGGAGATCATCAGTAAACAGGCCTTCAGAGCTGCACAGGTAGGGATCGCCGAAAAATATGTGTCGTTGTTTTAAACAAAATTATCTTGCTGGAATTCTTCTGCTCAACAACTGTGTTCATGATCAGTAATATAAAGTGTGCACAATGTTCTAACATTAACGTTTTGAGTCTACAGGTCGGTCTTGGCTGTTTGGGGATCATCTATTCGGTCACGTTCAAGTGCGTGCCCCTGTTCGAGATCATGGAAGAACGCCGCCTAACGACTTTCACGTGGCCTGCATCTGGGGACTCACTAGATTTCAGGATCCCCAGGAACTTCGACAGCAACTACATCGGGTCCAACGAATTCTTCTCCTTCTTTGTGAACCCATTTCCGAAGAAATGTTGTTCACGTGAAGGTGAGTTTCTGACTTGCTAATAATACTTTCTAGACTCTACTTTCTTTATCATATCGTAATATTGCAATTGATAACGCGTTCTGCGTTTGTTTCTTCATAACATTTTCTTTTTATCCCTCTCAATCTGCTTACTAAGGATGGTTGGGACCTGGTGAGTTGGCAAAAGATTCATATAAATGCATGGATTTTAATGATATACAAATTGTATGTTTTTTGTGTGTATTTTCTTGTGTATTGTGCTTCTATAGTTACATGTATATAGTATTAAATGCAATAAGATGTAAACTCATTTTCAGATTTAAGCGTCTCCGTAGTAAGCAAACGTACATCCAACACAATGTGTTAAGCTCGGAACATGTCTGTCTTATTGGTACAGGAGTGGAACATGTCCGAGTCGTGTACGTCAGAGGAAGGAAAGCCACAGAGAACGACTACCTGGCCAGACCCCCGTGTCGGGACGCATGCGCGTGCTGCTGCTGTGAGGGGTGCAGGGGGTGTACTGCCTGTGAGGGGTGTAAGGTACGTCATCATCGTTTGGGCCAATCAGAGCTCTACACGTCATTTTTGATGCTCATTGGCTTACACCAACTCCCTAGAATGTACCTGTCCTTGGTGCTGAAATTGCCATCCCGTCAGTACAGTATCCTTGCCTGCTGCGTTACTTTGGCCGCTTAAAATGACCAAATCTTTTTATTAGAGAACGGACGGGGCAGATATCATCAAGGGCAAGCATGATACATAGATAGAATCTATGTATGCGTTTAAGAAACTCTACCAAAGAGACATTCTTTGACAAAGCCTAGAGCTCCATATGTGGGAAAATAACGAAATTCTATGGCCTTACGTGAAACGGATGCTTTTGTTCTGAAATGGATGTTTTTGTTCTGAAATTAATGTTTTGTTCTGAAATGGATATTTTTGTTCTGAAATGGATGTTTTTGTACCACCAGACGGACTGCTGTGCGAGCTGTTATTCGAGTTACGTCATGCGCGAGCCCAGCTCCATCCCCGGCTGGATAGACAACTGCATGAAGATGTCCATTCACAAGGGACATTACGTTAACACCTGGTACAAGGTGCTGCAGTACAACAAGGGGACCGCTCAGTAAGTATCCAAACTGTTGATAGATGCACGCGGTTTCCGGTGAGAATTTTCTTGGTAAGGTATTGCAATTTTATTGTATTATTGCTCTAGCACCAAACTTACTGAGAAAACTCTTCCATTTCCAGCGTGGTGTCTTCGGAATGGTCGGTCGCCCTGGAGGACCTGGAGGCTGCTCTTGGTGACGTCATCGAAATGGCAGTGGATTATGGGAGGAAGCACAACTACTTCAACCTGATGCCGCTGGTCTGCCGCCTGACCAAGTCTGATGACGCCTACCTCAGCCTGGCCAACAAGTACCGGCCGGACGGCAGCGAGTGTGAGCGGTATGCACACATAGAGGTGAGAAAGTGTTTTTTTAGTACATGTTGTACAAAAGAAAAAGATTCAAGTTGGGGTATAGCATGGATAAGCATGAAAACCTATTTAAAACGAGATACATCAAGAAACTTAACTTGAGTTCTGCCAGTCCTTCTGCTCTTCAATATTCTTAAAACATAGACGGGGGACGATGCAGACTTCCAAGCAAACTTTGACCCACTGATGAAGAAACTTGTCTGTAAATTCACCTATCCATCCTCATGTACCATTTCTCCCGCCCCAGCTCCCGTACTTCCCTGGTTCGTACGGAGTAGAGGAGTTCCACCGCGCGCTGGAGGACATGTTGTACGAGCGGTACCAGGCACGGGCGCACTGGGCCAAGAACCGCTGGTTCGACGCGCGGCGGATCCACGACCTCTACCCCGGCCTGGAGCACTGGAAGGAGGTCTACACGGTCTTCAACAGGTATCAATATGTTTTTGTCTTACATTTGCAGAAGCAAAACATTTCTTCTTCTCCAAACACATAAGGTTCATGATCTGGACCAGACGTTTGTCACCATGGTAACTGGTACAGTAGCAGACACCCTATGGTGTTGGGTTGCAATATGTTACAAGTTGTAGGACTGAGTTGCGGGGGGGGTATCCATATATATGAATGGTTTTGAATGGGAATAAACAGCACTAGTTGGTTAGGGTAGATCATGTGAAGGTTAACGCTCCCTTTCTAGTATCTAATATGTTTCACCTGTTTATTGTACCTTGTAGACCTTATGCCCCTGTTTATTTACCCTGTCATTGCTGTAAGAGGCAGAAAAACTTTACCACAATGTGTACTTTTTTCGTTTCAGTGACCACACGTTTGACAACCAGTTCACTGCCAGGTGTGGGTTCGAGGACAGTCACGAGGAAATGGCGCGCTTTCCGGAGAGGTCAGGTCACATGACGTGGCGGAGGAAGGTGGGCGGTTACGTCATCTACAAGACAGACGGCAGCCCCGCCATCACCAGACAGCCGAGCCGGAGCTTCGGCAGACAGTCCAGCCGCTCCAGCCGCTCCAGCCGGCAAGGCAGTCAGAGGGGCAGGCCCAACATGAAAACATTCCAGTAGTAGGGGCTCGTTCACACAAACCGTACAGGGACGGGCAACAAATTATTGTCGGGGTGAAATCACCCGAGATTTTGTGATGGCTTACATGAAAGCTACGCCACATATTTGTCTTTACGTAGGGTTCAAAAGTTCTAATATTCCCGTTGCATTGCCCACCACCTTGCATCGCAACTGTTGACATATGTGTACACATACACAAGTACTACTGTTTGTATTAATCACTTTTTTAAACAAATGCTAAAAAAAAGAGGCAAACAAAAATCCATGTACTGTTAAAGGAAAAGTGTGTGAATCATTTGATTTTTTAGCGTTCAAAGTTAAATTTATGAAACGTAGCACAGCCATGTTAGTTTGTGTGGTAGCAGACTGGTAGCACATACACTAGGATACCCACTAAGTTAGTATTAGGAATACTGCTAGTATCTAGGTAAATATTTTCAAACACAGCATTATTTGATCCCTGCTTTAAAAGTCAGTGAATAAGAGCAGTAGGGACACAACGTTACGTGATGAGTTCACGAGCTTTGCAGCATGAAATATTTTGCTTCATCACATCTGTATCTGTATCATGTAGATGAATAAGATTGTATCACGGTTCAAGGTTGTAAAAATCTAGTCAATAGTTGAGCAACCTAGGTGTAATGATATGGGAGTAATAGCCAACACAACACAATGTCAAGCTTAGGTCGTTATGATTAGTCAAGGCGCAAGATAAGAGACCCCGTATTGTCAACGAACGTAAGACACTGCTGCTTATAGCTATGAATTTGCTGTTTTACAACGCTGCTAAATATTAGAATATCAGTTCTATTCAAACTCTAATTCAAGAGGTTTTATCGATTAAAATCAATAAAATTGTCACCTTCTTGTGTAGCTTGTTGCGTTTGATTTTATAATTAATCTTTGTCATGAAATGATATCTTTATGCACTAGATGACCAAGTAGCAAACAAACGGAGGAACTAACAAATAAATGAAATGTGTGTCTATGCATGCACTTTGAACATTGTTGTACATCCAATGTAGAATTGATTGACACCCCACACTCACAATCATTATAAAATAAAAGTCGAGGCTGAAAAACAAAGACTACTGAAACTGTGTAACAGAGTTTTGGCAATCACTCAACAGAAGCGTTACGGATCAAATGTCGCGCCTTTTCAAATGTGACGTGACCCGTCAAATGAGGCATGCTGGGTAACTAAAACAAAGCTGACTTCTTGCTCCACAGCGACATACGTTTTCCTATATTAATTTCATAAAAATGGAGAAAGGGAACAGGATACCATCCTGATCTTTTCATAAAGTGCTAAAAAAATCCAAACACCGGGCCGCTTTTCAGAAAATGGAACAACGACCTCGTTTGACAACCTGTCAATCAATCAAGTTAGCCCCGCCCCTAACTACCTGGCTTCACTAGCAACACACAAGATGGCGTAAAAACGTGAATCACTGCAAATCCGTCCAGGTGAGTTTCCTAGGTTGTCTTTGGTGTCTAATTCGACGAGAAGACGACATTATATAACTTTCAGACACAGATTCCTTAAAATTCATTCTTACAATCAAAAATCTTAGACAAGTGCCGGTAAGAAGTGGCTAGGTGCGCCACAGAACAGGTGTTGACTAGCGGCAGGTGTGTTTGCGTTTAACAGGTACTCCCGGTAAGCCGCCATTCACACGTTGTCAAGTCTTTTGTTTGAAAACTTCTTAAGCCTATTGTAGAAACCCAACCCTTGGGGAAATCATAGTGTGTGTCTGGTATGGTATTCAGACATGAATTATTTCATGTAAAATTTTGCAGCATTTGTAGCGCAGCCGGTGTTTTAAGACTTGGTTCATACGCAGTGTAAACTTCGCGATGACGACTAAAAGCAACAACACATATAGTGTAAATACTGGATAGTTCGAGTGGACAATGTAGTGGGCGATTAACGTACTTAATCTTACTTGTGCCCAGGCAAGGAGGAAACTGTACAGTACGAAATGCAAAAATCTGAAGAAGAAAAAATCAACAACACCAGGGCCTGGTGTTTTTGTTTTCACAGCAATGTACTTCAGTTTACTGTTGTGCTTGAGTGTTTACTTATTTATCCATTCATTACAGCTACCACTGAGCTTATTTAAACAGGACATTTTCGAGCTAATAGCTAGAATGTTCGATCTGTTAAGTCTCCCTGGTAGTATAAAATACCCTTTTATGCATTGAACTGCTCTAAAAAACAAGATAAACAGCAAGAAATAAAAGTGCTGGGGGAGGGGGAGTGTTAATCATTTCAAACCACAGGGGAGTACATTGTGAAAAGGTAGGTGGACCACTCATAATCTATGGTAATCCTCCTATTTAAAAGGGGGATTCTAAAATGGCACTGCAAAGTTTTGAGGCCTTATTCACTTTATACTGTAATGTTATCTGTCAGTTTCATTATATTGAAGTGGCTTGAAATATGAAAGGTGAAATATTGTGGCAGGAAGTGATTTGTTTCTTATGCTAGGGCATTAAGCCTTATACTTTATACTTATACTTAATACTTTATATTTATAGTTAGTACTTGTTGTTCTGGAGTGGGATTGCTACACACTTTATCAAAATATGATAATGCAGTATCATTATTTTATACTAGTTACTGGAATTTTATTACACTACAATATTGCTTATATCCATGTAAAGAGATGTAAATATTGCCTAATTTTGTGACCACGTGACCTTATAATATTTCTTTGTCAGCCAGATGTCTACTGCTATTGCTGCTCAAGACAACCAGCCCCCTCCCCAGCCTCCTGGGGAAGGGGGTGGGGCTGACGACACCACCCCTGGGGAGCCAGCCTCCAAACCGTCCAACATTGTAGTGGAGGCCTTCTCCAGCTCAGGCTCCATGAGTAACCGGAGTGAGGAGATCACGGACAATGTTCCCGCCCTGACGGAACAAAACGTCGCCGCGAAGGACAGAAGAGAGGAGGAGGAGGATTCGAGAGCAGTGGCGGATCAATGGGAGGGGAGGAGACGAACTGACACCGACCACGCCACGGACAGAGCGACGCTCGGAACGGCAAACGCCACGAATGTTACCGTCAGGCTGCCCACGGTTACGCGTAGTAACGAGGGAACACCGCGCGGAAGAGCGGCGACACAGACGGCACACCCTCTAACCCCGGCGAAAGCCCGTATTGACTACCTACCCACCCATAGTGCAGATCTGAGGGCCCTGAACGCACTCATAACCAGAAGTGGAACCAGGTTTTCTACTAGAAGTTTTCCTGCACAAGTCATGAGGATGTCCACAATAGGACTCTCCAGAGCAAGGTAAATGTTAGTTACCAGTGTAACAGGCCAAACTATACCACTGGCCAGAACAGACCTGGGGACATTCTGGCTGTGGAATATTCTGGCCTGTTACACCTGTAAGGTGCTTTGAACTGTAACTGTTGCTAAATGATAATTATTACAATTACCAGAAAGAAGTGTTCCCTCAATGGCTTTGACAGCATCAATGTCCAAATAAGTAAAAGTAAAAGAATCTTATATTTCTTATCAGAAAAGTTCCATTTAAAGTTAAGAGAACTGGTTGTGTGACCACAAGAAACATAGCAACACCCAAAGCACATTCAACCATCCATTCAGTCCTAACCTGGTTACAACTCAACGTTATCAATTAATTACTTTGACTAATCCACCAAGCAAACACGATTAATTATTGTTGGTAAGCATGCCAGTTGACAAATAATGCCGTTTGTCAAGTGCTTGAATTGCACTGCAAACAGGTTGTTGCTAAGACAAGTCAGTGTGACCTACATAATATATGTATCTTATCTTTAGATGCCAAAGTCATTTACTGTAAGATGTTGGTAATTAATTGTACTTGTAATTGTAGTGGACATTATTGGTTTATCAATTAAGGGTATGTCCAATCTTAAACTCTAGTTTTATATTTATGACTTTAGGATTTCAAAGGTCAACCTTATTTTAAGAGTTGACTGCTACAGTATACCAGTGTTCATTGACCAAAACTAGTAGTGTGCATGTGCTATAAGTACCCTCAGACATGCTTTGTTTACAAAATGCATGTACGCAGTAGACATCTTGGGTATCCAAGTGTACGCAAGTTGTTTTGCGTTACCGAATTCAAACAATGAAAAGTGTCTTTGGTTTCAGTTGTCTTACCCGTGTTTCCTTCACAGTAGTGTTGGTGTGTCCAAAGTTTTACAGCCATTAACAATGGTACATTATAGTTGCCAATGGAAAACAGCTTTAGATGTTGCAAGCTATTGTCACACGATCGGTTGGGTGAAATTTCATCACTTTCTAAGGGAAACAACCATGTTACATACTAGGTCTGAAAATATGACTGTGTAGTTACTCAAAAAACTTAAATGGCTCGGCTATCTTTTGAAAAGAAAATATTATTACTGGTCATAAAATCATGAAAACATATTGAATCATCTTTTAATATGAAAATTTATGATGTTGCCTTCTCATTAGATTGGCATGGAAGAAGTCAGTCTTGTACACCATTGCATATGACTGTGTTAGACAAGTCTCAATTTTAGTCCCTAAAACATTTCAATCCAAATAACTTGTTGTCACATACATAGACCAATATTTGATGCAACTTTAATTAAGTGAATATTGAAAACAAAGTCAGAAGATTGCATCAACTGTCAACTAGAATTTAAAGCATAGAATACCGGTAGGTCGTAATGAACTATAGAGTTCTTAATGACATTGTAGAAATTGCTGACTTTAAAACTGTTTTTGTGAACATGCAACTTTTGGGTTATGCCCTGAAATATACAGTTGAAGATTTAGGTCTACAACTATTTTAAAAAAAATTTTTTACAGATCACAGCCAACACGTATGGGAATGAACAACTACTTTGAAGAACAAAACATCAACAAAACTATTTGTAAGTATCTCTCGATTTCATTTACATTATCTTTAGTCTGTAGTCTCAAATATCATAACTAATATGCCACACACATAGAGAAATCCAAGATATGTGCAACTCCATAGCAAAAGTAAACAAGGAGAAACACACAGGTGAAAGGCTGATATTGTTACAGGGTGGCTTTTGTTCAGTTGCCCATAGGAGCTGGTCTTTACAATGTCCCACAGTTCACAGTACCTGACCCCTACTATGTCATTGTCAGCTGCCCAATGAAAAAGGCTTTTTTCTTTGGAGTCAACCATGCCTGCGCACCTGTTGTTAAGTAGCCAATTTCAACAAACTCAAAAGTTCCCTTTTTTAGTATTTAGAAGAAAAAATTGTACAGTTGTACTGTAGATTTACATGGTTGACTTTTTATGATCTTAAAAAATAAGATTGTGGTGATGTCATGGGCAAATCTAAGCTGGCCTATTTGAACCAAAAAAAATGGACAAGGGTAAGACTTATAGACAACACCCCTCGTGCAAGATTGGTTTAGTCCGTCGGCAACATCCATATCCAGCATTCTTTAGTATAGAACATAATTCCGCCGAAGCGTACATGCATGTCAAGGACGTGCTGTCAGCATTGGTCGAACTTAGCAACACACTCGCCGTGTTGGGGTATACAGAGGACGATGCTCCATGTCAGGTTTTCGATTTAAAGTCAGCCATAATCGAAGAGTGTCTAGATCTGACTCCATTTCCAGTCTATCATGTGAGTATTCGAGACAATCTCAGTGTGTTATAGGATGATTCTGCAGGGTTTCTCTTTTTAGCGAACGCCCACGAAAGCCCACCAATTGTCGCACCAATCTTAAAATTTTTGGTGTGGTCATGTCCAGAGTGTGCTCGCGGGTGTCCATGCCAAGTTTGAAGCGAATCCATCGAGCCGAACTTAAATAAATCGAAATTTACTGTTTTTTTTCTCTTCTTGGCGAACGCCCACTTTACTTCCGGGTTCGCTGCGAACGCCCACTACTCTTGGCAAAATTTCGGCCCTCGCGCAACGCCGGCAAAATCCACCACCACAAATATGTTCCTATATGCCTCCCCCTGCATTTCTGACAAGTTTCCGTGCTTTACGAGCTTTTAAAGTACCCATTTTTTGACAAAATATGCGCTGCGACGAGCTCGCCGCCTCCGCGTATACGTTCCACCTGGTCACGTGACTTGCGGGTGGGGACTGTTCGCTAATTTCATGATCAGCGGGAGGGAGGAAGGGTTGCAGAAAAACGCAATCTACCGCACAAAAGGGCAGAATGTCGTCTTTGTAATATCAAACATAAATGATTTCCTTTCCTGCATAATTTTCACCACGGTTATTATTATAAATAAGCTGCGATATCACAGACATAGTGTTGCACAATTGATACACTTCTCAAACCAGGGATTTCATACAACTGTATCAGGTTACCTGCAGCACGCACCTTCCAGTCGCCGGCGGTGTGGACAACAATGTAACCGCTTGTTGCATAATAATTTATATATTCCATATATATATATATATATATATACCCTCTGGTATACATGTGTGTGCGTCATATTATGTAAGAATTTTTTTGCATAACGTTGCGTGTCTATAGTTCAGCAGAACAACAAAATTAAAAAAAAAATGCCTGGGGGTATTTGTCCACTGTACCTCCATACCAAATTTCATGTCCTTAGGCCCCAAAATGAAATTGATAAAAAAGCGTAATTGAGAGGTTTCCTGTTTTAACTTACATCTTGTTTTTCGACACTTGACCAGTTGTAGTTGGTTGACTTTGTCTGGAGTTAACACAAAAAAATTATCAACGATACATATGAAACATGTACATTTACTAATAAATTTCAACACTAAGGCACTCATCCAACCAAGGAACATGTACTTTCATATGCCAACAATAATGGAATGTTGCCTGAAGAAATACGTCACATACATGTTCAAGTTTATAAGTAACTAAGTGCAAATTGGGAATCTTTATTTTTGGACAGTTACAACATAATAGTACATACTTGTTGTGTACTACCGGTTCCACACTGCTGGAACTTTCAGTTCCACTCTGCTTCTCTGTCTCAGTCTCCCTTAAAAAAAATAGTCACTTCTGAGATAAAGGTCCTTCCATATGCCAACAAACATGGAATGTTTCTAGAACAAATATTTTGCACAAAACTTCAATAATACATAAGTGCACATAGGGGATCTTTATTTCAGGACAGTTACAACATACATGTACATACTTGTTGTTAGTGGTTCCACTGTTCTGTGTGCTTCTCCCATAAAAAAAAGAGTCGCTTGTGAGATGAATGTCCTTTCATATGCCAGCAGACATTGAATGTTTCCAGAAAATATGTTGCACACAAATACATAAGTGCATAAGTTACAGAATACGTACTTGTCAATCTTCGTGCGACATGCACTTCCTGTAGAACCATCGTGCTCCGTCTCCCTTAAAAAAAAAGGACTTTGTGAGAAATGTGCATTTACCTCTTTTCCTCAGACAGATTCATTGAACGATTCATTCATTCCCAAATCAAAGTCCAGCCTGAACAGGCTATTACAACAATATTCCATTACTTCCATAGTTTTCCATTTCCTTCCCAATCATTTTTAGATTGGGAAGGAAACAGTCATGTTATGTGTTTTGTGAAAGAAGATTTGAATTTTGAGTCATACGGAATTTTCACTTCAGGGTATCAAGGACCGGGACAATAAGTATTGTGGTAAGTCTGACTTACTGTGTAATGTAATGAGTAATGTTAATGAAATTAGCGAACAGTCCCCGCCCGCAAGTCACGTGACCAGGTGGAACGTATGTATACGCGGAGGCGGCGAGCTCGTCGCAGCGCATATTTTGTCAAAAAATGGGTACTTTAAAAGCTCGTAAAGCACGGAAACTTGTCAGATATGCAGGGGGAGGCATATAGGAACATATTTGTGGTGGTGGATTTTGCCGGCGTTGCGCGAGGGCCGAAATTTTGCCAAGAGTAGTGGGCGTTCGCAGCGAACCCGGAAGTAAAGTGGGCGTTCGCCCGAAGAAGAGAAAAAAACCAGTAAATTTCGATTTATTTAAGTTCGGCTCGATGGATTCGCTTCAAACTTGGCATGGACACCCGCGAGCACACTCTGGACATGACCACACCAAAAATTTTAAGATTGGTGCGACAATTGGTGGGCTTTCGTGGGCGTTCGCTAAAAAGAGAATGCGGATTCTGCAAGAATATGCTATGCTACTACTATCTTTTGTTGTCTGGTCATTTCGACAAAATGGGCAGCAATCGTATATCAAGTTAAACTCTTCTCACAACAACCAATGATTGAAGTCTTCTTTTTCTAAATTTCATAACAAAAAAAGACTTACTTACATTGCAGAAATTTGGTAGACGTCAGTTTGCTCTTAGCATGCAAATAATCTAGGAAGGTGTGCTTTGCCCTTTCCTGTTAAATTCTGCCTAAACATTAGCTGGTAACACTCCTATGTTCCAACAACTCAACCCAATTGCCCTGACAGCTCTAACCCTTTGTAGAACTTGAAGTTGTATTACCAAGTCTTACAATAGTCCTGATTTCTCTCGGACTTGCAAGCTGTAAGGGAATGAAAAATGTTTGCCATGTTTCAGGCCCCTTGAGTTAGGTGTTGTTTCTTGCCATTGATCTGTGTGTGCAGCTGTCTTAATACTGGAGCTTTGAGTTCCTTTATGCTGGCTTTGGTAGACTTTCTACACAATGTGGCCAATCGTATCTCTAAGCCCACTGGCTGACATATGTACAGGTTGCCATGGGCTGATCATGAAGAGAAAAGGGGAAATGTAGTAGTCTACGGCAGAACACCAGTTGGACATATCTGGTACTAGTTCTCTATTATGTGGCTATGAACCGAGGAGGGTGACACAAGACTTAGGTTACATCTTTATCACAGGCGATCAGAGACGTGTACAAAAGAAGCAAATTACGGCACTGAAAGATTCTCTTCTTTGTGTTGATTGGCATTGAACGTTGGCGTAGAACTAGGCATGAGATTGTTGTTTTGAAGTCTTGTGATTATTTTGTTAGAGAAACTTTAGAAGCTGTAATTACCCGCTTTTGTAGAGTGGTACATTCCATCCCAGCTGTTTCACCAAGGCCCATTGTTCATGAAGTGGTGTTCATGTTACACTGAGACCACTAGAACACTACAGGCATAATACAGGGTTTCTAAAGGCAAAATTAGCAGTAATGTGCTCAACAAATTCTTTGATTCAAGTGCAACTTGCTTGATCCATAAAGATTCATACAAAGAATGATGCCATGTAACTTTGAACACATATTTTGATTACAAATATTGCTATCTGTTGGTATGTTTCTAACTGAGACCTATATGTTGACAAGATCAACTTCATTTGTTTATTTTGCCTATTGTTGTTTATTTTTCCTCCACTAATCATTCATTTAGCATGGGACAAAGCAATGGAGAGCAGGCCCCCCCTACAGGTGGACATGGATGGGCCCGGCCCGACCAGTTACAGGCCCAGGAACAAACCTCTATATGAGACCAACGCACCTTCCTTCACCTTTGGTAGAAAATCTCCACCCAGAAGTGAGTAAACACAGTAATTTCTTATCTATCTGTTGTAGTTGTTGTTAATTGTGCATTTCAGCACCAAGGACAGGGAATATTCCCAAACTGTTTGGCAATACACATGTAGTTAACAATATAGCTTATATCATGTATATTGAAAACATTTCATCTTCTAGGAACATTTCCAAGAATGGATTAAAATTGAACATTTCCAAGAATGGATTAAAATTGAAACCAATGCAAAGTGATTTCTTCAACATCATTTCTAATTGCTTCAAAAGTCCAAGTGATTTCTGCCATGGATGGCCATCCTCTTATCTCAGACCTAATATTTTGTCACATTGTACTAAGTATTCAAGAGCCTACCTTCCCCTTTAATTGTTAATTGTTTACCCTTCCTTTCCATGTACAGATGGAGGTGGTAGGACAGCCTGGGCCACACCCTGGATGCAGTCAGAATCTGGCTTCACCAAGAAAACAAACTTTGAAAAGACGGTGAGACACAAGATATACTACAAAATTTTTCTCATATTACTACGCCTTAGGTACTAAATTGCAATTGAAGAGTCAGATAACAACGAGTCACATTCTACTTTTTAATACTTTATTTCCAATTTGATTGCTTGGCAATAATTAAAAGCATTTTTAGCAACTTTATATGGATATGTTGTATTTTTCAGTGGCCAACTCCTGTGCATTATCCAGGCAAACATGAGAAACTAGCTCTGGTAGGCAAGAGACAAGTACATCTCCCCACATACCCACAGTTCTCACTAGGAGCACGCAGGGAGTTTCTACTCAGTAAAAAAGGTAATGACATTGCTGATAATTACTGAATAAAAGATATGTAATATATCTTTGTCTATGAGCTTAATGAGAAATGAAACAAATGTAGAATAAAGAGAAAAATTATCTGTGCTGAACCAAATACTTGAGAATGGATACTGCTTCATCATTTGTTATAAACATTTTGTCTCATTTCATTAGAAGTATGCCAATCTCTTTTAAGTTATCTTTTGTTAGAAATATTTCAGATTATTCCAGTAAAATTAAAAAAAAATAAAAACATGTGGTGTATTTAGTATTTGTCATTAGTATGACAGAACATTCCAATAAAGACTGTTGTTACTTCAGGATCGGATTTTGAACCCTCCCCCAATGAGTACAACATCAGTTCAGCAAAGGTGGTCGTGTTACCCAAGGCACCCGCTTTCTCCGCTACACCTCGCAGGGGAACACTGTGGGAAAAGAAATGTAAGTCTGGACATACCTTACAACTGATGGAACCTCAAACTTAGATATACTTCTCTTTACCACTATACCTACATACCTCATACCTTGACTTTTTCCTGGTCGTTGGGGGAACAAGGCACCACTTTAATGATAACAAAACAAATATGGACACAAGTGATAAAATTCACAATAGCATTGACATCATTTCTTGTTGGAATTGAGTAATTTCTATTTTAGTAAGAGTCAAAGAATCACCATACTACATGTAGTAGTTTATTGGAATACCTTGTAGAACTTCTGAGAGATATCCAGTGGGAGTTTAACAGTTCAACAGTGTAAAATAATACAAAGGAAGTCTCAATAACTAGTCATACATCATTTACATTGTCCCTGTGTGCTGAAATGATGTTAAGAGCTGTTTTTTGTCTCTACTCCAGCTGATACCCCAGGCCCAGGTGCCTACAGCCCCAGTACTGGCTGGACCAAACCCCACAATCCTGCATTCACTATGATCGGCATCAGGGGAGTCAAGAGGCACGAGCTGGGACCACACGCTACATTGTAACAGTCGGATATTAGGTTTTGTTACCATACAACTTTGTAACATCCAGATATCAAGGCTATATTGCCATCTGTAACAGTCAGATGTAGCAAATAGACTGACAGTGAGCCTACATGTATACAACATTGTCAGTAACAGTCCAACATACCATGGACTGTTGATCACAAGAGAGACAAACCAGAAGGATCCTAAGATGATGCAGATTTTTGTTTTTAAGTTCCAATGAAAAATTTGCTCAACAATCATGTATTTTAAGGAATTGCATTGAGCATTTTTGCTGAAGAGAATAATTTCAACAGTATTTTCACACACACACAGGATCCTTCTATTTTTTATTTCTGATAATAGTAATATGTGGTATGTTTACAGTGTTGTTTATCTGTCCATTTAAACAGTGTTTATTCAGTTTTGTTTAATTTCATTTAAATGGTGAAGTGTATACCATATGATGCTATGGAAATGGTGCATTATTGTACATTCAATTGTATTATTGAGTGTAAAGAATGACAAAAGTGTACACATTTTAGACCTGATTATGAATATAGTGTAAATCTCCCAGTTTTAGAAATGTTGATAAAGAGATTAATTTTTACATGTCAGAATACTTTTCTAAGACCATTTGCCTGTACATATCGCAAGTTTCTATGTTGTGCAAGATTTTGCCTTATGAGATTCTACTATCGCGTCAGATTCACATGCTATTAATAAAATAAAGTGGTCTGAGTCAAATTTTGCTTGTTTTGTTCAGTATACACATTAAATGTGAATCCAATTGCATTGTACATGCGGATAGCCTGGGTACCATCCTACTTGTATGCCGGGGCTCCCACACTCGCTTCTTAGGGAATCGTGGTGGTGCTAATCAAACTCCTGTCGTGCAAAACCTACCTGGGAACCGAGGTCAGGCGGGCGGGCGGGCGGGCGGGGAAGAGCTTCAGCCCCGAAGAAAACCCGCTCCAACCACGATGGACTGGACACCATTAGCCAGCTATACCCAGAGGAGAACACAGAAACAAACTAGGAACTTCTTTTCTACATCCTGGACAGGCAAGTTGATAGTTAATGGACACCGCAAGTAGAAAGGTAATTATAACAATATTGACATGAAACAACAGGTGCAAGACGAGCAAAGCACTCCGTAGTAAAAAAAATAAGTCCTTTATAAGTCTGTTTTTCATTTGGAAACTCGTACACAGTGCGCTAGGGTTGGCGTGACAACATATAGTTAAACAGTAGGTGACAGGTGTGTTGACAACCTACACCCAGTCCCCGGGGATTGTTCAGACTAGCCCCCAATAGCGGATGGACCAGTATGGGCGTGATTCGCCTGGGGCGGACATTTCTTGTACATAAAATGCCACCAGATCATGCACATCAAACGCTTATCGAAATAAAGGGTTACCCCCCTACCATAACCTATCAAAAGGCATCGGATACAGTGTGCAGTCATCGCGGTATGTATACATAGGGCTGCATGTTGTGTTTGTACAGTGATAGGGGGCGTGTCCCTGTGTCTGACAGGTTGAACTCCTGAACCCAAGTTATTTGCAACTAGACTATTGCACCCATGTACATTCAGCTGTGGCCAGTGGATCGAACTGTTGTTTACGATTAGAAAGGCAACGACTGAACAGTAGAACGTCAGGTAAGCGTACGTCAATGTTGTCTTCAGACTTCAGTGTCATATACTAGTAATCAACATCAAAATCAAGTGTGGTTAAACATCTATTACTGATATGGCAAGTGGACTCTTGCCCTTTGACTACAGGTCCGTTCTAAGCCAAGGTTTGTCTAGACTTGAGTCAGGGGAAACAACCACTATTGGCACCCATTTTCCTAATCCCAGTCTAAAGGTATTTCATTTCTGTTGCCACCATTGAAGGTCAGAAATTTAGTACTGAGTAACATGGGGTCATACAACCTTGGTCCCAATTACTATTATGGACACGAATATTATGAACACGTTCGACTTCAGTTGCTAAGTGAATATGATATGTAAGAGTTTTTCTTTCTCTCAGTGTTGTACCGCAGGTAGGGAAAGAAAATGAAGAAAGGCATTGGTCACCGTTTTTCTTAACGTTAATTTGTTTACGTGATTATAGAAAACAATGAAAGTCGCCGTCGTGGGAGCAGGCATTGTGGGTATGACCTCTGCCCTCCACGTCATGGAGCAGTGTGCGTCTGCGCATGGGCAGCTGGACCTGACAGTCATCTCTGAGAAGTTTTGTCCGGAGAACACGAGTTACGGCGCGGGGGGTCTGTGGAAACCGCCCTCACAGGAGCACATGAGTGATGCAGAACTGTGAGTGGCGTTCGCACAATTTCCAACCAAGGAAATTTTAAGCCTGGTTACTAGACCTATTATAGCCCCCGAGTCCTACATCCTCTCTCTATTTGCGGAGAGGATGTAGGACTCGGGAGCTATAATAGGTCTATCTGGTAACCAGGCTAAGAAATCTTTAGGTACTAGTAAGCTCCAAGAACATCAGAGTATGGCGTAAAGTTCATTGTGCCACCGTGACCACCAGACGAAGAACCAAGCAAAACGACTAACCAAGTAAAAGTTTGTAGCGCAGTTCACTAGGCTGTTAGTGTTACAAAACTCGCCTTAGAATCAGTTTATTACAAACTTTCGTATAGTTCTAAAGTGCATCTGTCCTATATAAGGTTTTAACTGTATAGAATAAGGATGGAATTTCAACCTTTTTGAAAATCCTTTCCCAGTTTTTATTACGTATTTCACCAGCAAACGGCTACAGGATTCCTTTGATTTCCTGACATCGGCACTCCGGACTAGCTACGCCCACGAAGCCGGCATCTTTCTACAGCCGGGGTACATCGTTCACATGGACCCCGTGCCGGTAGGTGAACAAATTTTAAAAGGGACAGACAATTAGACAAATAACGAAGTTCCAAATATTCATTTGCCGTTCGACGTGTTAACCTTAAACGTCCTTTTCCAGGGGTGCCAGACGAATTATGTATTATTTAGTAAAATTCGTGTGAATTCTTGGGCACCCCGCCCTGTTGTCTAAAAAGAAATGTAAAACTGTAAATCTAACACGTTTATTAAAGGCCTCAAAATTATTCTCTGAGTCATTTTTTTCGCCCCCACAGGACCCGGCCTGGAAGGACATTGTCGTCGGTTTCCGGCATGTCACTCAGTGGGAACTTACAAACCTCTTCCCTGGTTACAAGTATGTGGGGTTAGATAACTGCTTTATGTCTATATTTTTGAATTGTTCTTTCGTTTACTTTTTTTATTACTTGCGATGACATACTGTTTTATAGGCAAGGGTGGTTCTACACTGCTTTTATCTGTCAGCCAAGAGACTTTCTGCCATGGGCAAAGAAAAGGTGAGAGACTGGGAGACGTTCGTTATGACTCAGCCGTTGATCAGTCTAGACACAGAAAATAAACCACAAAATTAATTCCTGTGTCGTTGGGAAAGAATCATGATAAATAGTATTCAGTAGAGATGTCATTCGAAAGAAAATAAAGTTACAGTAACAAGCCTAGCTAGGATGTTACGGTTTTGTCCCACAGATTGACTCAGAGAGGAGTCTGCTTTGTGCAGAGAAGAGTTAACACATTGGAACAGGTATGGACAACGAACTACACGTACCTCATTTGATTTGTTGATTTTTTTATTCATTTTCACGCAAAGAATAGACATAAACATAAACATAACGCCTCCCTAAAATCTAATACATAAAGTAAAATTAATACATAGAAATACACTATACACAGAAAGTGATTTGTTGATTTTGTTGGTGCCATGAATATGCGTGCGTTATAAATCTTATACGAGGTTATCTGGACGTCTCTCGCAGTTGGCGCCACATTACGATGTAGTTGTGAACTGCAGCGGAGTTGGTGCAACAAAGTTGGCGGGTGACGAGGCCGTTTCAGCGAGCAGGGGCCAGGTCATGAGGGTCTGTACTGGGTTGTTCTGCAAGTTTTGATTCTTAACTGTTAAAGGCGTTCAATGCCAATTCAGAACAGCAACTGGAAATATTCTGAATAAGGCAATCTTTATGATGTTGACACATACTAGTACTGTATCACATAAGCAAATTTCAATCAGTATTTCAACCTTTGGGTATTTAAAACTGCAGGAACAAATCCCAACACATAAGTCCTTTATATTATGGGTGATACCCATAAAATCAGCCAAGGCCCCACACCCTACTTGTAGCCCTCCCAGTTACCCGCACCCCAATCGTACATGTAGCCCTCCCTGATCTTCCCCGACGTAGCCCACTCTGATCTTGCCCCCACTCGTAGCCCTCCCTGATCTTGCCCCCACTCGTAGCCCTCCCTGATCATTGCCCCCACTCGTAGCCCTCCCTGATCATTGCCCCCACTCGTAGCCCTCCCTGATAGCCGACCGGGGTCCGTGGTAGTCCCTGGTAAAAAAGTGACGAAAGGGTTTTGAGGGTCCAAGTTTGTGGTGACATTTTTCATAAACTTCCACGAAATATGATTATACATTGACATGGCTGAAGAGTGTAAGAAATGGTGATTTTGGGGTGAAAATGTCTTTTGGTTCCGAACCTTACTTCTGGGTATCCTTGCGCGCCAAGTGTAATCCGCCCGTTTGACCTAGATTTCGCTTTGCGCCTTCCTAGGAGTGGATTTGCAACCCTCGCGCCGTGGACGGATTAAAAATTTCATTACTAGAATTTTCTTGATAATTTACTCGGGTATTGTCAAGGTTTTGTGTCTTTCTGCCAGCATCAGTCACTTCTGCCGGAATTTTTTTCTATGGGATTATCCTACGCGAAAATTCGCAATTATGTTTATTAATTTTGGAGTGAAAATAATGTTTTTTTTTTCGTTGTTTTTACCAAATTTAAAAAGGTTGAAGAAACCAAGCTCAGCTGGTCTTGTAGTTGAAGAGATATCCTTTCGTCCCATATACATTTATTCTCCTTCTGAATTATTCCACCGCAGAGACCGTCGCTAGATTTGAGGGTGTGCAGCTTCGAATAGAAACGCCAAATAAACTGGGGTGTGCCACCTTAACTATTCTCGTGTTTGTTACCTATATTGTGACAATTTTCCGCTAATGTTGTTGTAGGTAAAGGCTCCCTGGCTGCGGTACTTTGTGGAGACGGACGGTAAACATCCAGTCATCGACGGGATACCGTACATGTATCCAAAGTAAGAGTTTCTTATGAAGTTACATTAGACTCTCTTGTTTTGTTAAGAATATCCTTGGTGTAATATACTTCACAAGGAGCATGTCCACAAAGTGAAAGTGTACATCGCATCAAGTGTATATTTATTTATTCTTTGCCTCAGGCCAGAGGCCCATATAAAAACAGGGACAATACAACAACAAGTACAAATACACAAATCACATACAGTTGTTTAAAAAGTGCGACCAGAAGAGGCTCCGGGTAAACACTTCCGAATGACAAA